ACGTCTCGGCTACAAGGATCGAAGGTCATCTACCAGAGTAGGGGGTGGCATGGTTTTGGCAATGAACTGTGGGCAGCAAAGCCGGGCAGACTTGTATGCCGCAACATTGGCGAATAGAGGTGAGTTGTGATGATTGAACTTTCTCAAGAAGTATTGGACTGCTGGACGGATACAATCTGCCGCGTACCTTCTGAGTTCGTTTTGCTGGGCAACATTTCCTGGTGCCAATTTCTTCACGACAGCTTCGACATTTGGATAAACAGCATCCTGGGCAGCAGTTGCTACTTCCTGGAGGTGAGTGTACGCATCCAAGCTCAGCATACCATCACCCTCGATGAGATAGGTTTTGCGAACGAATGGTTCACCAGCATCGACCGTTGCTGCTAACTCAACCTGAAGCAGATCCGAGCTATCTGGCGCAGCTTCATTGCGAAGAATGGACAGAAGATGTCGACAGGCATTCGGGCTTGACTCACACTCTTCCACAAAGGGTTGAACATCTCCGAAGTGCGTCTGACTATTGCGTTGTCGCCCACTGCCTTCGTCAGACCGGTACCCACGAGCTGCTGTGCATTCTTCTCCTCGTACACTCTCCAGGATTTTGTGAGTGTTGCTTGGCGTGCTTTCGCTTTAGCCCTCCGTTCCTTTGACAGCCGATGATTCATGGACAGGATGTGGGTTTTAACTACGCTCTTTTTCGGTTGGACGATAGCGTGACAAACTTCGCAGAAGAGTTTTCCAGCAGAGATACACAGATACTCCTTCGGAAATTCTTTGATTCGTTTATTAGGGTGAACTCGAGGTGCCTGGGTTGATTTTCCTTCGCGAATTCTCGTTCTTTTACCCAATGGTTGACCTGAGCGAGTAAAGGATCTAACCCTCGATATGCTTGCTCCTTTGGCTTTGGGCAGTCGTGCGCATGCCTCACCGGGCTCATCCTCCACCTCTGCCTCGTTCTAGTCTTCCTTATTATCCTCCTATGTCTCGTACTCATCTTCCTCACTCTCTTCCTCCGAAGAATCAGAGACTTCCAACACATTTCCATTTGATGTACTCATGGTGCAAGCAAGCCAGCACTGCATGACTCTGTGAATAAGAAAGACAAGGTTTCTTTCCGTTTCCCATGATGGCATCAACGTGGTACGTCTATACCTAGCAGCTGCCACTAAGATTCGCAACAAGAGACGCATGTTGTGAAGTCGCAGGCTAACGTTTAAGCAAAACTGCCAAAAGCCGCTGGTACAAAGTACAGTGTGTACGTTACATTGTAGAGCTCCTGTTTTATTCAGTAATGCACACTCATGAAGTGAGAAAATGACACTTTTGGGCGTTAATGCTTGTTTTGGCTCCAAATCCGGGTACAATGCTGGAGCATTGCTAGTTCTCAAAACGATGCTCGTAATGCCAGTTACAATGCTAGCATTACCCGCCGAGGCCTAGTCTCAAGCAGGGGGCTGTAAAATTACTACTCCCTGTAGTCAAATGCGTACCGAGAAAAGAGAAAGTTACTTTCGCAAATCACTGCAACTTCGCGTCCAAGTTTTCGAAGTTTCGAGCTTTTTTTCTGTACTCATTCCCAGACTCGAATTTTCTTTCGAACTTTCGCATTGCTAAACGTCCTTAATCTGCTTGGCATTTCCTTTTTCCGTCGACATTTTGCTTTGGTTTTGCTCGAGATAAATGTGTTTCAAGGAAAACTCAACGATAGTTGTCGCTGATGACAACGGCATTTTTGATTGAGCGCCTGCTGCTGCTCAACTTTCTACAAAAATGTGGCCATGAGTTTTTTTCCCAACTTTTGTGCTTGTTTTCAACCTGATTGTGTTGAGAAAGTCCCTCAGAAGCCTTGGATTTTCCGAAAAGCCCACCAAAACTGGATATTTTGCTCACAACTTGCCGGAAACTTACCCATCCGATATTTTGCTCAAAGAATTGCTAGCAAATTTGGGCTATGACTATTGTGGGCGCTGTGCACCAACGTTCAAAACACTGAAAATCAACAACAACAAGAAGGTGCTGACTAACATGTTTTCGAAAATCCGGTAGATTTTATAACTTTTCCGGTATACTGGGACGAAAGAGGGTTTTCCTGGATTTCCCAGGAGAATCCGGAAGGGTTGGCAAGTATGAATGCAGCACAGAGAGACATACTAGGTTTAAGAGTCAATGTCTGTAAAAACCAAACATCACCCGACATGGCCAAATTTCCGATTTCGCTCAAAGTTGGCTCATTTTATCCCTGAGTGGACCTTGTTCGCCCACTATGACAGTTTGGTCCTTGGATATATATCTCCCCCCCCCCTCTCTCTCTCAGTCTCTCTCTCTCTCTCTCTCTCTCTCTCTCTCTCTCTCTCTCGGCTCTCTCGGCTCTCTCTCTCTCTCTTGGCTCTCTCTTGGCTCTCTCTCTCTCTCTCTCTCTCTCTCTCTCTCTCTCTCTCCCCGTTTTTAGCGAATTCAAATAAAGAAAACAACCACAAACAACATATTGAATGAAGTTTACATTTATCAACAACATATTGGGCAAAACACCAAAGGATGTACCCAGAGTGCTGACAGTGCTCAACACCACAAAGGCAGAGCGTAATACACAACAGAACAAAAAAGGACAATCAAGGCTTGTTTGGTGCTACTTCAAGTTTCATGCTCACGCAATCATCAGGCAACATGGTGGGGGGGGGGGGGGGTGTTGTCTGATGATTGCGTGAGCATGAAACTTGAAGTAGCAGCAAACAAGCCTTGATTGTCCTTGTTGTTCTGTTGTGAAGTGGGCAAAACAAAAAATTGACTAAAATATGCACTGAAACAAGGTACAATAACAAGGGGTCACTGTTGCTCACAACAACGGAGCGCAGCCAAACCAACTATGTTCACACACTGATCCAAGTTACCTAGTAATGTTTAGCCAACCAACTTTCGATTGGTGACTTGCTCCGTCCTTCGAATGAATCGATCAATTCAGCCTCTCGTACAGTCTACATAGCGCCCAGAAGTATACAGCGGAACCGCTTCTGGACGCTGTGTATACGGAACGAGTCGCTAGTGCATCGTGCGCGCGCTGTGCTGCTACTTTGCCGAAGCATCTTTTTTTGTTTTTGTTTGTTTTTGTTTTTACTACCTTAAAATCCCACCAGAGCGTCCCTACCTCCGCCACCCGGACCCTTCGAGTAGGTCCAGGTGGGGATGCCCCTGGGCGAGTCCTACTTACCGCATTCAGTATTAGGCCACACGTTTTTATTTCTATGTTTCTCGTCACCTGAAAATCTAAAAACGTATGCGAGAGGTGGAAAAAATAAAAAATGACCGAAAATAAAAAGTTTATTACAAACCTTTGTAGACCTTTGTTCACACTAAAATCCACCAATACACCATGCAAAATATTATCCATAGTTAGCAACTAGTATGTGGTATAGGAGCTTCTGTCACGTGCAGCTAGATTGCGCACAAAAATACCGTCCTTGCATCATGTCACATGTGTCGCGCAGGCCAGGCCACATTATGTACATGTGCATGAGTGTGCTGGTCCCCACATGCACAGTCATGAGTGCAGCACAGTTTTTTTATTTTTTTCTTCCAGACTCCTGAATCGTATGCGCGCGGGTGACGAGAAACATAGAAATAGAAACGTGTGGCCTTACATTGAAAAGTACTCACCCTACGAAAACTGTTCGTGCATCTCGTACACCGACCAAAGGTCAAGATCCAGGAGTCGTACTGACCCATCAAAACTCTGGGTTTGTGCGATCCCTGGTCAAGAGGGTGGGCACTGTTGCGTACATTTCCAACGGGGTCGAGCACGCGTCTGCAGTACAGTACGGCATCACAGAGTCATACGAGGATACAATAATAACTTGGTGCGAAATAATGAGGAGAAAATAATGACGCCCAAAAGCGTTAATTACGAAATTAAGAAAAAAGGGAGATCATAAAGCACATAGTATCGCTAATGGCATCTCAACTGATGATGCAATCGCACAAACTGTATATGAAATACAGCCTTAGGCGGGATTCACAGAAGCTTTTTTGCGATGCGACACGCAATGCGACGTGATCTGTGACGGACGCGTGCGATGTGAGCTCGCGAAATACCATTCACAGAAGAAGTCAGCGATGCGACGACGATTTGCAGATTTGGTGCGAATTTCAATGCATGTGGGTACGTCACCCTGGTATTTGCGCGGTTTGGTACAACTTGTACAAATTTATAGGCAACTCTTGAACCTTTGTACAACTTTGCTGTAGAAAAGGTCAAAATCGTACGCCAAATCGCTTGTCGCATCGCAAAAGTTCAGCCAAGCTCAACTTCTGCGATGGCCCAGATGCGGCAGTTGCGTGGGGTGCTATATGTAGATGGCTGCGATTTGGGGATTTCCCGGTTTCGCGGCAGTCGCATCGCGTGTCGCATCGCAAAAAAGCTTCTGTGAATCCCACTTTAGGCGGGACAGTTATTTGTATTCAGTGCTGTCTGATGGTCGCTAACTGCGTGCGTATTGCGTGAAACTCCAAGTAAGAGCAACAGCGCTTTGTTTCCCGTTTCTCTATACGTCGTGTACAATGTCATGTACCCTGGTTTCAACCACTCGGCTTGGCCTGGTGTGCTGCTAAACGCAGTGCAGCACAGTCGCATGCCCAGTGGCAGTGGCAGTGGCAGTGTTCAGAGTGCACAGTCCAGTGTACAGAGTATAGAGTATAGAGTACTGTATAAGCAGAAAATTTCGTCGGTCAATAATTTCGTCCAACTCCAAAGAAAGGGAGTTCGTCCGGTTGTAAATTTCGTCCATGGATCATAAGAGTGTATTGAAAAGCTGGACAAATTAATATTAGTCCAGCATTTAATTTAGTCCAACAGCTCCTTGGACGAAAAAGACGAAATTAAATTCCAGACGAATATTTCTGCTTGTACAGTATGTATAGAGTATAGAGTATGCACGTGCACAGCTGGTTGCTCAATGTATCTGACTCATGACTGCTGTGTTTGCACATTTCAAATGCTGATCTACCAGATACACTTTCCCACCTCGTTGGGCAATATCCAAACCACCAGCACCCGTGACACCGCAGTTGCCGAATAGCTACAAGGGTTAGTACCGCACGCTTGCAAGTTGGCCAGATCAGGATTAATGCATGCATTGCCATGGTTACGCACTGCACTAGCTTCACGGTTGGACTTTGTGACACAAAAGGTGTACGATATCCGAACTTAGATGCACATACACCCACACATGTACACACACATATACACACACACACGTGCACACCTTGACCTTGACCTTGACACACGTTGCCTTGATAGGTTACACGGTCCCCGTCAGGGGAGAGGGGTGGAAGAGGCTGAGGAGCAGCACTTCTGATGGCGCACTAGATGGTGACGTAGTCGGAACTTCCTTTGGCAAGGGCACTCAAACGGGAAGTCGGCCCTTTCCGACACTGTCCTGCGTTTCGTGCGGTCGCACTTGTGTCTGGCCAAGCCGCTGCTGGACTTGAAACTCTGGTGGCAGGTGCTGCACTGCGGAGTGACCGGGTTGCGGGGGTGCTCGATGTTGGGAGCAGGTCCGTGGTCGCACCGATGGGTAGCCAATCCACCGGGGCTGTGCACACACACACACACACACACACACACACACACACACACACACGCACACACACACACACACACACACACACACACACACATACATACGTACACACACACATACACACACACACACATACTAGCTACTACTACTAGCAGCATGACTGCCCAGAGGGGCAAGTGTCACCCCTATGGAAAGGGGACCAGAAAACGGGACACGGATCACAAGCAGGACCGCGAATGTCTGGCTAGGTCCTGCTGCCGGCGGAAATTGCGTTTACAACGTGGGCAGCTGAGGGGCAGAGCTGCTCTCTCAGCAGCAGATGGTCTCGCACCACGATTGCAGTTGTGACGCTTGAACCCGGCCGCAGAACGGAAGCATCGCTGACATGTTGGGCAGTGCTGCTGGCAACAAGCTGAAAGTGGCACAGACAGACTGACTGTTGGTGTAGGAGAACTCGTGACAGGCTGGCATCGATGAACAGAGTAGCCACCCTTGCTGCGGAACCACCTCTGGCAGTTCTGGCATTGCACTGATCCACGCTGGAGCTGGATGGGAAGCCGTCTCTGAGTAGTGCACTTGTGCCGCGTTCTATCTGAGACCCGTGAGAAGTTCCGGTCACACACTGCGCAATGCACAGACTTGGGCATGGTGGAGCTCGACTGAGGGGCAAACACACACATACACACACGTGTACACACACACACATACACATGCACACACACACACACACACAGTGGTAGTTTCAGTTTGTCTGCTAGTGCCTTCGTGACGTAAAGCGGGATTCACAGAAGCTTTTTTGCGATGCGACACGCGACATGACTGCCGCGAAACCGGGAAATCCCCAAATCGCAGCCATCTCGCACCCCATGCAACTGCCGCAACTGGGCCATCACAGAAGTTGAGCTTGGCTGAACTTTTGCGATGCGACAAGCGATTTGGCGTACGATTTTGACCTTTTCTACAGCAAAGTTGTACAAAGGTTCAAGAGTTGCCTATAAATTTGTACAAGTTGTACCAAACCGTGCGAATATCATGGTGACGTACCCAAATCAGCAAGACGTCGCATCGCTGACTTCTTCTGTCACTGCTCGTGCACGTCTGCGCACGCTGCACTGATTGGAGCACCCGATATGCCATCTGATGCACCTGTCTGCGTTCCGCATGCAGCATGCTAGTATAAGGTACAGTACATAGGACTGTGCACCTGTCCCAGCCAGGCTCTGACTGTCCCAGCCAGGCTCTGACTGTCCCAGCCAGGCTCTGAGTCTCACTTACAGCTCAACGATCGAACATACACTATATATCACATCAGTTTGGAGAGCTCAAACTGTTTAGTGTTGTTTTCTGGCGCTTCTTGCTCAGCAGAAGTGGTTGGCTTCTGAATTCTTTTCCCACCATCCCACCCTTACCATTATCTATAACCAGGACCTCCACTACCGGTCCACTTTTCACAATAAATACTGGGTGCTGGCACAACTCTTAACGGCGATAGGGGCAGCCTGGTCGTAAAATCCCTGAAAATCGAATTTGTAAATTCATATCGAGTGCTACATCAGTTGAAAGAGCAAGAACAGCTGCAAAATCTCTGAAAATTGTGTCTCGATCTGACCGGCCGTTCAAGAGTTATGGCCGAAAATGTGCCCTTGCAAGGAAAGATTTTTTCGCTGTCATTTTTTAGCAGCACTGTATTTGAATCTGAGCAGACCGTGCGCAACTTGTCGTATCATGGAAACAGGCGAAAGTGTGCAGAATTTTGCTCCAAGTCCAAAAATTCACGTTTTTTAGCCATGTATTGGGCTGCACGCAGGCCTTTTGCCAGCACCCTCGTGACATTGCAGATACCGGTATGTGGCTTGATCAGGCTTACCTAACAATAAAACAGAAGATATGCAGTCAACAATACGCGTACGCGAAGGAGGAGTCTGCGACAGACCAGCTTATTATACTTACCCAGCAAATGGCCGACTACATTGATGAGCGTCTGAACTTCGACCTGGTCTCCCTAGATTTCTGCAAGGCATTTGACAGAGTAAGCCATTCAACTCTCCTCCGTCAAGTCAGCACTTGAAATTCTCGGACCATAAAGTCACTGCCTGGACTAAGAGTTATTTGCAGGGTCGACGCATAGCCGTGAAGATTGATTGAGGCATGCATGTCAGTGCCCAAAGTCACCAACTGTGGTGTACCCCAGGGATCGCATCTGTCACCTCTACTGTTCGTGATCTACTGAGTACATTAATGACCTACCAGAAGCCATACTTCACTCGAACACCTTCTTGTTTGCGGATGATGTCTCTCTAATTTTGCCCTACAAAGGCTCTCTATCCAGTCTTGGAATGCAAGCAGACATTCATGCATGCCAAAACTGGGCCAGGGAAAGAGGCGGAGAGTTTCGCCCTAAAAAAACTTCTGTTTTAAGCTTCCGTTATAAGCGTCAGCCTTTGGGTAATCCTGAAAATAAAGATTATTATATTATTATTATTAAGCCAGCGGCAGCATCGTCACCAGCACCAACATCTGCCACCTACACTCTGGAGGGTCTACCTCTTCCCAATATTGACATCCTCAAACATCTGAAAGTTCGCTTCAGTGCAGACCTAAACTTCCGTCAACACTACCTTGACATCAGCCGCAAATTCAAGCAAAGAGTAAGCCTACTTTGTCACATGGCACATCGTCTTACACCGCAGGCCATGATGCTCCTCTACAAGTGCTATGTTAGACCTGTCACGGATTGGAGTATAGTGTTGTAGTGTGGTCCTTTCGTCTTCGTTCAAGCGACTTGACTGAGCTGGATAGAGTCCAGGCCAGGTTTGCAAAATCCTACCTTAGGAAACGCAAAATCCGAATCGACTTTAATACACCCAAGCAGGATCAAAAAAGTTAACATTGAATCCCTTCTTTACCGCAGGCAGTTTATAAGGCTGCAAGCCTGCAACCACACTAGGTACAAAACTGCGTAAACGCAACTTTTCTGCTTATGTCGTCAAGGAAACGCGTGCGAAACGCAAAACGTGCTGCGTTTCGTTTCAGCAAACCGGGTACCCCTGTAGAAAGCAACTTTTCGCCTTTTCCTTGCGTTTCGCTCGGTTCTTCATACGGGTAGATGTTTCTTAGAATTCTTCTTGAGGCTTGCACTGTGTCGGTAGTAGACGGCTTCCTTGTCAGTTTGTAGAATTTGAGATTTCATCTGCCAGGGCTTTGCTTTCAGTATAATTTCCGGACAGTCCTGTTGCCTGCTGTTGTTAGTTCGAGATGCCGCGCAACTACACTGTATTTCGCTGATAATCTCGAACTGAGAAGCTCATGCAGCTTGGGGCAGCGTACCAGAAGACGAAGCAGGGCCAGATGACAGCCTGGAGCGGACCATACGAGAGAAGGAGATGAAGGAGGCCTTGAACGTGTATGTCAAGGCGCTCGCGACTCTTTTTCAAACTACTACTACATGTAGACAATACATTTTCACAGCGCTATTTTTTTCTGGGACCCAGAAATGTAGACAAAACGCAAGGATTCCTTGCGCATGAAATGGCAGTGTGGATGCGACTTTGCGTTATCTAAAAGCTGAACGCAAACGCGTACTTGATTTTGTACGTAGTGTGGTTGCAGCCTAAGCTTTGTTACCATGCACAAATTTGTTTTCAGGTATAGACGTTGCCTAGCTTCATTCCATTTCAATATCACGCAGAGTGCGAGACGCCCAAACAAAATAATTCTCCCTAAAGCAAAGACCACATCAAAATCGTTGTTTCTCTTCCAAACCTCCCTCTTATGGAACTGCCTCCCACCAAGACTAACTGCAGAACCATCCATTATTGTTTTCAAGAATGAGCTTCGCAAACTCACTTGCAAACATAGTGCTTCGCTCTCCGGTGTGCCCACGCCATGTACATAATCCCCCCTGTGTGCTCCCCAACGCATTCACGCTGAACAACTAATTACTTTTACTTTCCACTGATGTCATGGCCCTGCGTAGATAGTACTACTCACCAATACAACTATAGTAGTGATGCACACATTCATTATCAGCCTGTCACCTACCTCTACCGCAGCCCTCATCAATGCCCATTACTAGAGTATTGTTCTCTTCCTTTTGATTAGGATAGGGTTACCTCTTCTGTCGCCGGACCTAGACTATCCATTACCATAGAACTGTCGTCTATTGTCTCTGTTGCCGGTCCGTTGTTCTTCTGTTCCGCTTTGTTGCTCCGATTCATGATTAGCATTAGCTTCAATACTTATAATTACTCTTTGCTGAGTTTAGCACAGCTCACTACTCGTTCGCTGCTGCCTGCCCGATCCTTCCCTTCGTAGCTGCTCACATAGATTTCAGCTAGTACCGTACTGGCAATATATGTTGCCGCGTAACGCGTAACGCAGGGGGGTGCGGCGTAACGCGCGACCAGGCTAGTGCGACAAATTTTCGTTGAGTTCGTAACGCGCGTCCGGCGGGGTGCGGCGATCTTTTCATTGCAGTTTGCAAAAAATGATGCGGCAATAGCAAAAAAATGATGCGGCAATGGCAAAAAAGTGATGCGGCAATAGCAAAAAAAGGACTGCGGCAATATAGAAACCTGTGTAACGGCTCCTGTGCGACTTTGCATGTAACGCCCTGCGTGCGGCAAACATGTGCCAATGTAACGCTTCATGGCCTCACTGCGGCAACATATATTGCCAGTACGGTATAATTTAGTTCGCTGACTTGGCCAGATATCTATCAGAAGTATTAGTCTTTTAGGAGTCTTGTATGAGTCTTGTATGAGAAGTATTAGTCGTATTGGGTTCTTGGAGATTCTCTTTAGCTTTCTTGAATAGACTTTCTTTATAGGAGTTCCGCTACCGCTGAAGCGGACTTGTCCGCTTGAGCCGGTGTGGCCTTTGACTTTGTAGTTTCTTACTGTTCCTTTGTTCCTTTACTATTATCGGACCTGAGGGCCCCGCCACCCTGACTTCTCTCTGTGCTTTGGGTCTGAGGTACGCCTGAGTGGAACTACCAAGAGGCGCACATATACTTTGTGCAAACGGGCTTGGGATAACTAACACGTAGAGACGATCAGCCAGCCACGACACTACTTTCACTTTAGCTCATACATGTACATGTACACCCTTCAAAGCGGTGAACCCCTTGATAGGCGACAAGCCTCTGGGTCATTTATTTATTTATTTATTCAACATCTTATGGCTTCCGATGGCAGCCAAAACGGGAAGATGTGGATGAAAGCCAACCATGGTAAAAGAAGGAGAAGATTATACACATGAAAAGGAAACAGCCGAACATCCTAATAAAGATATTATTATTATTATTCGAAGAGAATTGGTGAGCACACATGCTCATTCCCTGGGCACTGCAAATTCACAACTCATTTCATTTCACAGAATCATTTTCAACGTTTCGGCAAATTGCCATCATGAGGATACAATATGAAGTGGAAGTCTGCCAAAGGAGCAGTTATATACACTAATTTGGTGTTCTTAGGTGTTGATAATATTTCTATGACTACATTATGTTACCTCAGTGCTAGAAATATGACATGTCTAAAACTAGTGAAAGATCACAAGTTTTCACTGACTCATATGCTGGGTGTTGGTAATAAGTTAGCACAGCGCAGATGTCACCAGATAACTTGAGAAATGTCTGAACAGGTTTCTCGCAAGCAATTCACGAATGTGACCATGTGAGTGGTTTCCAGTAAATACTGTCACCTAGATAGACAGTGTGGTGTGATTGTCAAGAAGTCAGGTAGGATTCAGTACTAGGCAGTAGTGGAACGTTATGAACGTGAGTGGTAGTCTTTGCCGATTTTTGAGGGTATCCTGGATTCGGTTTGCAGCGCTGTGGAAATGGCTTGCTGTGGAGGTCCCAGCACTGGATGTTGTATCAAAGGTACGACCTCGTAGCACGCCCTAAACCTTAAAAAAATCAAAAATCGACTTGGGTCTGTGGGAGTCTGTGAGAGAACGCCCACTCGTGCCGTTGTGCATGTGACAGATTCCAGGGCCACGTTGAGGGCCGGCCCTATCCCACCACCCATGCCATGGCTGCTTCTGGGCTTTTTTTAAGTTTTAGGTTTGGATCGCGCACACGGACAGAATGGGCAAGAAAATGTGAAAAAATAATGCATTTTTTGGCTCCTGGGTGACCCGCGCCGCACACCGTGGCACTATGCCGGAATTTTGAGTTTTCCCGGCCTGGAAAGCCTGTCAGTGAGGCGCAAGAACTTTTAAATCATGTCCAGAGGGCCAGCATAGTGGCAGGAGTGTGTGGTGAAAATTTCACTCAAATCCATTGAGAGACACCAAAGTTACGGTCAATTGAATGCCATATGAAATTATTTGTTCAATCATTCCGTGCTCTATGTTGAGCCAACACACGCACTCTATCTTGAGACACATTGCCTCACTCGCAGCCAGCACCCGTATAACTCCAAACTCTGATTCAAAATTCACGGCTAGGAATTCTATATCCTTGGGGACGCAGCAAGCTGCCTGATTCCGTAGCTAACTTAATAGGACTGAAATACTAGTTGCAACAAAGCAACTCATGCCAGTGAGAGGAGAAATCCAGGCCTGTAACTGTTCTACGGAATGTGGTCTTTCCCTTGTTTTCTTGTTTCCCTTGCTAAACTGTGATGGGATTTTGATGGTCAAAATCCCATCACAGTTTTGGTCAGGGTTTTCTTTTTTTCTTTTAGCACTGATGCCAATCAAGGTGTATTTATCTATTGTATGTTGTGTCATGGACTGCTATTTTAGTGACATCCGCTGCTACATCGCCTGCTACATCACCTGCTACATCGCCTGCTACATCGCCTGCTACATCACCTGCTACATCACCTGCTACATCGCCTGCTACATCGCCTGCTACATCACCTGCTACATCGCCTGCTACATCATTTTCTTTTCGATTCTCTACGCACCGTGGCGCTCCTGGCACAGCAGAGCACTGCAGCAGTGTGGCTTTTAAGTGCAGAATTATCATTCACGATTTGCAGCCAGGAATTCTATATCACTGGGGACGCAGCAAGTTGCCTGATCCCATAGCGGATAAGACTGAAATCCTGAACGCAACAAAGCAACTCGTACCAGTGGGAGGAAAAAAAGACAATAACTGTCGTTTGGAATGTGGTCTTTCCCTGGTAGTATCACCACATCTACTGAATCCTCTCGACTTCACCTATGCATATCGCTGTGGAGCTCAGGTCCATGCGACATTGCCGGTTGTCTGGGCATCTGATGTCTTTGTACTTGGCCAGGACACTACTGCAAGCAGCAACCGCAACAGTAGTAATGGTGCGAGCACTCTTGTATGTTCTGGGGGAAACTGCAGGGGCGTAGGAAGCAGTTTAATATTGGTGCGGCGAAATTGTGAGAGGGGGTCCGGGGGTCCTCCCCCGGGATTTTTTTTGAAAATTGGGCCTAAAAGGCCATATTTAATGCTACAGAATAATATGAGAAATAAGAATATGCATGCTGATGATACACCGCATTGTCGATGTAAAACATGGTACCTGTACAAGAGTCGACAAGCCATCAACAAGGTTGAAATGTAAAAATAAAATAAAATAAAAAAATTCGAAAATTATTGGTCCGGCGACCGCCGGGCCTGCCGGACCGGTTCCTACGCCCATGAACTGAACAGCCGGTGTGCATCGAAGACTAGATATCACAGTGCGTGTAATGATAATTAATTTTGTCAATGAGATTGCTGAATTGCAGTGTTGGAAGGACGTCCTTCAATAATCTTGAACAAAAGTGCAGTAAAGTGCCGATTATCCGCACCTCGGGCCACGGGCAGTCTCCAGGGGGTTCGGATGAGGAGAATGCTCGGATGAGGGAGCAGTCACATATCGATCTAAAACATGCATATTCCTGCATGTAAAAGGAGAAAACAAAATGTTACGAGTTATGACTAACTGTCCACCAACGTAACCAGATCTTATACAGTCAGCGAGTGTGACAAAATGGCACAAAACTGACAATAATTTAATTAGCTCACCATCCGAGTTGAATTCCTGCATGTTTTCATCGTTTGTCATTCTCTTCGGCAACGACAGGAACTAGGTGCACTCCAGCTCCTGAAAATGACACTATCGTTATTATATTTGGACTCCCGCCTGTTGTAATACATCTTGTGCATCGCTTGAATGATGGTCTGAGTGGGAAGAATCAGCAAAATCCCAATTTTCTACCCCTCAATTGATTCAATGTAAGCAAGCATTTTGGATAGTTGATCGTTTGGATACTAGTAATCGGCATTCTATTGTACCGCGGTGAAAACGGTGAAAACACTAAACACGTTCACCGCAAAATTACCCGTATTTTCCGGAGTATAAGCCGCACTGGAGCATATGCCGCACCCCCCCCCCCCCCCATTTTGCCACAAAATGCAGACATCTGCCCTATTTATCACTGTTAATTGTAAGATCTGGCTACGTTGGTGGACAGTTAGTCATAACTCGTAACATGTTGTCCTTCTCCTTTTTTTTACCTTAATTGTGATCATCGGAGTATAAGCCACGCCTTTTTTGGCTGAATTTTGAGTGTTCAAAGGCGGCTTATACTCTGTAAAATATGGGAGCTGTGTACGCTAGCTGTATTCACGTGGCTGGACAGCTCCACTGGTACCATTTGATTCTTCGCCTATCCAGGGAAAAGTCAAAGGCCACTGGACAAGGTGCAGGGACTACCGCTTGTACATGACGTTCGCTATGGAAATACCACTTGAACCAACATTGTGATAATAATGCTCTTTCGAATGTCCGGAGACTCTACCAGGGCTGGCAGAGGAGAAAGGAATGTAAGCTAACATCTTACCTTCCTTCAAGTGGCTGCATTGTACGGCTGTGGTTCACCAGTATCTTGTCAACATGTTCTCTCTGTTGCGCAGGTCACAGTGCGGGTCGGCTGCAAGGTGATGCCAGCGGGGATGCCAGCGGTGCTGGCAGTGATGACAGCCATGCAAGCTCAGTACAACGTGTAGTGAATCTCACAAGCTGCATTGTGCCAACAGCATCTCCCAGCCAGTCAAGCACGATCCGCCCTAGTCAGACCAGAGCAGGTTCTGCAACACTGGGTCATACTTTAAACGGTACGTTGCATCTCGTAATGAGAACGGTGACGGTAAGGTGATCCCCCCCCCCCCCCCCCCCCAGCATGGCTAGAACCCTGGGGTGAACTTCCTGAAACTGTATTGGATACCGTAGGGAGTGATGCTTTCCTGCAGGTTTGCCAAGTGGGGGGGGGGGGGGGGGGGGGGTGTTGATGGGATTCTCGCGTGCTCTTGATAGCAGTTGTGAGTCAGTCAAACTTTTAAAGTCATGTTGGTGGGAAAGGTGCTAGCTGGATTGTGGCGAGAAACCAACTTCCCTATTGCTATCGCTCTCAAAGACATTTGGAACCCGATGGAAGAAATATTTTCACCTTTGGACTCTTCGTTCGTTGTGACACGTGCGCACACTCTGCTCTAGTGTTGATCTATCCTACAGTCCATTTCAAAACTATAGACGCGTAGGGTTTTTGAAATATTTCAAATTTGGCTGGAACTTTTTGAGAATAGTTTTCGGAATATTGCTCAGGACCGCTCCACAATTAGCTGTGCAGCATCTGATGGTACTGTGGTATTCAGTAAAAAAAAAAAAAAACGATTGGATAACAGACGCCCAATTTGGAAAAAATTATGCACAAAGTGATCACAGATTTTATGTGGTATAGATGCTGGCATAACGGTTTTTGCCTTGGTACGCGTCTATAGTTTTGAAATGGACTGTAGTAATTCTAAAACAGATGGAGTCATAATACATGTGTTATGTGTTGAGAAAGGCGACTATGGGTATGACTCACAAGACTAGTGGACGTTACTCCACTAGACATCTACTTGGTCTAGAACAACTGGAGACTAGCCAAACTCTTTTTAAGATTCTTTTGGTATAAAATATTCGATTCGTTTAGAAAAAATTCAATTACGTTCCTATTTTAAATATTTGTTTCACTCCTAGAAATAATTGAGCATTTTTGAGAGAATATTCGTTCTTCGTTCGTTATGGGTGAGTATTCGTTCCTTTGTGAAATAGAATATTCGTTGCAGCCCTAAGAAATGATCTCCGTCTTCTGCACTGTGTTCAGACACTGACGAATGTAGCACTGGTACCCATCAATGTCATGCATATGCTGCATGTCAGAACACAGTAGGTTCCTATGTATGCTCATGTGCTGATGACTATACTGGCAATGGTATGCAATGCTCACCACGGGAACAACGTAAGTCATCAAAAACAAACATGCCGTCACAGACGAGCAACAAACCTGGCCTGTACTCAGATGTACATACATGATCACTGCCCTAGCTGTACGGATGTGACAATTGTTTTAAGTAGTGTCATAGAGAATCCTCTTGTGTTGTGAGTACATAACATGTACATGTAGGGCTTAGAGACACCCGATGTTTGCCCGGTTTTCAAGAACTTGATGGTCCATCTGTACCTAGTGCCCCACCACGTCACGCACCGTTCTAAGCCATGTGCATTCGTTGAAACCTGGTCGTTCATGGAGACCACAGCAACGGCACGTGTAGCCCTCTCCTCGCCAGTTGTATTCTCGTTACCTTTGGGGTGGTATGTCCCCAGATTGCCTGTCCCTACTTGTCAGACACAGCTGCTAGCTCTGCCACCTCGACATCGTAGATTACAATCTTCGGAGGAGTATTCACTAATCTGACGGATTTGGGGTGGGCTGTTTCCCACATAGTCCTCCTCCACCACCATGGTGGAGCTTCAGCACCGCTTCTCTCGGTCACTTTCGTTACCATGTAGTCACTGTCGGTTCACGATGGCCGCTGCTGTCTACCATGTCTGAGCTTGGCTCAATGCGGATTGGCATTCATACTCGCTCCACTTTCGCAACGCCGTCAATTACTAGTACCGTAAAGTACCGTTGATCCGCCCCCTCTCTAATTCCCGCCCCCTGTCGATTTTCTACCTGTGAAGCGACTTCGGCGTATACAGTCAGACCTCGCATAACCGCACGCATCCGTTTCGCACAAAAGTATCCGGATAGGCGAGGGAACCGGATAATCGAACACACATACTGTTTGTATGCATGACATATGCTGTAAATCGGCAACCAACGATTTTCGTCCGGATGGCGAGGGATCCGGATAAAAGAGGACCGGATAAGCGAGGTCTGACTGTACAACGAAATTATGATGTTGAACCGACGCATACACTGCTGTACACAATACACTGTACATGCCAATCCAGGATGAAAATGTGCACAATTTAGCACATCGAGTCTGATCCTCCACGTTGTTGTACATCGTACTGCACTTGGCAGCCTTGATCTAATTCCCGTCCCCTGCCGAAAATCCAGCTGGGAAGTGACATGGCGTGGGAGGGATCAATGGTACTTCACGGTATGAAAACAGCCTCTCTTAACAACACAGTCTCCCTTTGGAGTGGCTCCGGCTGTTTTGCATTTCTGAGGGCTGTGAACTGAAAGCCCTGACCGCGCTGGCATACACAGATACAGCGGGGGCACTTTGCCAGGCGTTATACTGGGTAGGCGTTTTACGGGCTTTTACGGTACACGTCATATGGCTAACATGATTTCAAGTAAAGTCATGTGCCGTGCATGGCTGGGATGATCCTGTCACGAATCAGACCACTTTGCCCCGTTCGAGAGGCATTCGGAATTCCGAGGTTCCACTGTCACAGTGGCGTAGCTCGGGAAATATTTGTATGGATACTGGATATCTTTGGCCAACCAAGTCTAGATGTATTTGAGGTCCTTGATACAGATAACACATGTTATTCCACTAGAGCCTTAGAGGCTAGGCGAAATATCTGGCAGTTGCAATATACAATACAGAAGCGTGTAATTGATAGCAAAAGTACCAAGTTAGTACACTGTTTCAATTGATATAATAATTATAAACTGTTGCATGTCGACATGTCCTGGCCAACCGCGTATGGATACCTGACTGCAAAGTATCCACTCTGGCTACGCGCCTGTGTGTGTGTGTGTATGTGTGTGTGTGTGTGTATGCGTGCGTATGCGTGTGTGTGTGTGTGTGTATGCGTGCGTATGCGTGTATGTGTACGTGTGTGTGTATGTGCACGCATGCGTGTGTGCGTGTGTGTATGTGTGTGTGTGTGTGTGCATGTGCGTGTGCACATACATTCTTATTACTATTACAGCTGCAGGCACGTCCTCGAATCTCACAGCCCTAACTGTGGGCATCACTTTGTGTGTTGTACTCAACATCAGTGTGCTGGCACTCTACTTACTATGGAAGAACAAGCACAAGAAGAGTGAGGACATCCCGTCCGCAATGATGCTTACTCAATCCACGACCACAAACGTTATGTCCACATCTACAAGCTGGACGGGTGAGAATTTGTATGCAATCGAACCTGGGAATTCATCACACAACCATGGCAACAAGGAAACAGAGGACCCAAACCTAGGAGTCCATTACCATAAGGGTGGCAGCTCGGAATTAGAGGAGGTAGAGGAGGCAGAGGAAGCAGAATATGCAGAGTTTGCGATGAAGGCCGCTGAGTTCAGTTCCCGCCTTGGTTACGAAGTTTGTGAGAAACAGCCCCACTCATCTACATACCGCTCACTCGGGGATTTACACGATCCGGATTTATATCAATCCACTCGAAGAAGTGCGAGAAGAAGTTTATTGGACTATCCATGGATGTAGGGAAAAGCAAAGGGTAGAATTCAAAGTCAGCTCCTGCCATGCTAAATACCAGGGAGTCGTAAAATACCGACTCCATGCTAAATACAAGCATTTGTTGTTGACAGTCCCTACTTGCAGTAGTTGTAGTATAGTTTGTATCTGTATTTTTAATATAGTAGTACACGAGATCTCTTGAGTACGAAATAGTGGTTGCGAGTGTCTCTTGAGTGTTAACAGTTTTCGAAGTTACTAAGGCTAGGGATCGAGTTGACAGTTGTGTGCCCCGCTACATTATAGAATGCGAGGCTTCATATCTGTTTGGATTTAACTTCCGACGCAATGTTTCACTTTACCAAACGTGGCCTCAATTTGCCTGTGTATTTTCCTCATATTTGTTCTTGGCCAGCGTGTAGTAAAATACCTGCAGTATTTCTTTTACTTCGAAGTACAACTCCAGTATCTACAGTAGAGTCATGCGCCCAAGAACGTTGTTTCCCAGGGTTTAGCCGTGGACATTGTTATTTTTTCAGCAATCTGGCTCCGTTCTTATAGCACGCTCTTAGAAACAGTGTGTACTGGATCATATGTATCCCACAAGCTGCCAGAAAACCAACACCGCCGTTCTTAGCTTCAGGCTGTGGCGTTCTTAGTATTTCAGGCTGGACGTTCTTGGGCTCCACGTTCTTCAGCGCGCGCCTCTACTGTACTACTCCCTGGTCACTGCTATCTTGCAAGTGCTTTTATGGTAACTATGTTCTCAATGTTTTCGCCGTCTTTTATCCATCTTACCATATAAGGTTCAGTTGCAGACTAGACTGCGTGTGTGGAAGACGGTCACAGCTTTGAAGCTCTGATGGTGAATGAAGGAGCTTGGAAGATTTTCCGTGCTACTCTGCACTCTATTCGCTGCTGTGTTGGGTTCTGCTGTGGCATAAGCCCAGCATTGGACTGCGAGGTGCAATCGTCTGCATCATATAATGAGCTGTATACAGTCAGACCTCGTATATACGGTCCTCGTTTATCCGGATCCCTCGCCATCCGGAAGAAAATCGTTGGTTACTGATTTACAGCATAATGTAGTGGATATGTACAGTATGTGTGTTCGATTATCCGGTTCCCTCGCCTATCCGGGTTTTTCTGGAAAATGGATGTGTGCGGTTATGCGAGGTCTGACTGTACTTTTACTAGTGTTGTAGTTGCAAGAGCGGCTTGTGCTGTGTTCTTGGAAGCCCCTCTTGCTACAGTCTGTAGTAACACAAGTACTGTGATTTGCACGGACCAGTTGCATCCCTATCTTTGTCCACTCATGGTTCACACCTAAACTGGTCAAGTTCATACCCTGCATGTACAGTACAGGTAGGGTGATGGTGATGTGTTGCACAGACTCATGTGTGAAGCTTGTGTGCCCTGGGTATGTGTGATGTGTTGCACAGACTCATGTGTGAAGCTTGAGTGGCCTGGCTATGTGTGATGTGTTGCACAGACTCATGTGTGAAGCTTGTGTGCCCTGGGTATGTGTGATGTGTTGCACAGACTCATGTGTGAAGCTTGTGTGGCCTGGGTATGTGTGATGTGTTGCACAGACTCATGTGTGAAGCTTGTGTGGCCTGGGTATGTGTGATGTGTTGCACAGACTCATGTGTGAAGCTTGAGTGGCCTGGCTATGTGCCAAGAGCAGGGAGTCGCGGGCTTTAAGACCCCCTGATCAAGAATAACAGGAAGCGCTCAAGCTGTGTCCCTAAAGCAAAAATGCCGTTGCAAGAACTGTGATCCACAACTTGCTGCAAGAGACCACAAGATTGCCATGTTATCGCATCGGCCTGTGCCAATCCTGGCTGACATGCAGCTTACCGCAAGCCACAGTACTCCAGTGACACTGCACCCACTAGGCCACAGTACTCCAGTGACGCTGCACCCACTAGGCCACTCCACACACAAAATACACTGCACTACATGCGAGTACTGTGTATCAGTGCAGAACATGCACAACATGCTATTCATTACCGGTACATGTAATTCTCTTGCCGCTGTGGGTAGGGTTGATGCTGCCAACATAAGCAGCCAGCATACAAATCCATTCAGGGAAGTTAAAATCCCACCGGCGATCGTATCATTAACCAGAGCCAGGGCGCTACAGGGTGTTGGTGGGCAGACTTTTCTGCCAGAAGTTGAACTAAGAGAACACGTAGACATGAATTTCGCAAGTGGGATGATTTCAAAATCGTACCTTTGACATTCTAAACGGCTTGATCACCGCTGCAATGCACTTGGCTTCTTGCGATGACTCAGCAGTGTATGCTGCACTGACAGAAATCTGCATATTCCTACATACAGAGCATTCAGACATACGGTGTACATGATACATAGTACATGCATTGACTGTACACGTACAAACAAATATTTATAATAAAAAATAGTCTGGCCATTGCCCTTCGCCTCTGCAGATCTGGTCGCATGCCATGGCAATAATCTATTTGAGAAAACTAATACAAAAACATAACTAGAGCAATTTCGAATCAGTCTGGTTACAAAAGAGAAGGGCTATATCTAACTGGGGAGAGTGAGAGAGCGAGAAAGAGAGGGGGGGAAAGAGAGAGCTAAGAGAGAGCTAAGAGAGAGAGAGAGAGGGAGAGAGAGAGAGAGAGAGAGAGAGAGAGAGAGAGAGAGAGAGAGAGAGAGAGAGAGAGAGAGAGAGGGGGGGAGAGAGAGAGAGAGAGAGAGTAGCATAAAGCTCAGCACACAAGACGTCATCACCATCAACACTTGCAAAACAGTGATCATGTCTTTGAAGGGGCCTTGGAGCGGTTGCGGGCAGAGCGACGAGGAGCTGAGCAACAACAACATACAGAGTACCACACAACATACCACACAAATAACAGCAGCAGCAGTGTTGACATATAGCACACAGTAACAGCAACAACAACAGCAGTGTTGGCCACAGGTTGCATGGAAGTAGTCAGCCAAAAATAGCATACTGTGATATGAGAGAGGTGGAAAATCAAAATGGGTGTGCTGATCACAGGCATGCACATGCAAGTACATGTGCATGCTTACTCGACCGCATAAGTGGGTATACCCGTGCGCCCACACCCACGAGTGCACGCGTGCAAGCATACATGCATACACACAGACCTGCATGTACATGTACACACACACACACACACACAGAAAGAACGGCTCACCTGCGGAAGATGTTGATGCCTGATTCCCTGACGAAGCCTGTGCTTGGTGGTTAGGTCCTGCTGCTGCTGCTGGTTTTGTATTTCGCTGCTGCCCCACAGCAGCACCGTCATGCAAAACTGGAGAGGAACTTCCTTGACCAGGCCGTGCTGCCGCCGCTGCTGCTCCTGTTGGTGATGCTGAGCGGTCGCCACCGGGGAACTCAGAAGGTGGAGGTGATGCGGAATAAAAGTCCGTGCCGGTTGTGGGTGGTATTTTCGACAGTCGGCCGTCCTTGGAAACAGTAACTTTCAAGTTTGAGTAATCATGCATGCCGGTAGCTGATGGCGTTGTTGATAGCGTCTCTCTTTTCACTGCTGCCTCAGACTTGTCAGGAGTGCGAGCAATGCGAGGCTTGCTTGCAAACGCTGCCTTATACTCGTCTGGCCTGGACAATGGTGACACGCAACACGGGTAAAAGCATTTCTACCGCTACGTAGAATATCCTACAAGTTTGCAGGAGAGAGTTTCAATCAGAGTCCAGCACCACTGGCCGCACTGGCCAGTGCATGCGACTGCATGGTAGTTCAGTGAGTGTAAACCCAGCTGGTCGACTGCATGGTAGTTCAGTGAGTGTAAACCCAGCTGGTCGCTCCATTCAGGGTTCATGGGCTAGTAGGAAACTGGTGGAAGTGCACATCATACATACAGTGCACATCATACATACAGTGCACATCATACTTACTATAGTATAGGGTTTGCACATCATACTTAGTATAGTATAGGGTTTGCCAACATTTGCAAAGCGAGCTCATGTAGGTACACTCGTTGCGCAGATGGAGAGCTCTAGAGAGCCATGATCCGTTTCAAGTAGAATTCTGCAACACTATTGACCCTCGTGTTATGATCCCATACTGCTCTCCTCCTCCTCCTCCTGCTGCTGCTGCTGTTGCCTGATACCCTTTCTATGGGGTACGCCGACGGCGAAAACTCAAATCACATGGTGCAGTGTCGCAGTTGTACGTTTCCAGCCCGTTTTTAGGGAGCAGTGGAGTAATAAAAAAGCACTCTCTGGCAGAAACTCACTGCGGGTATGCAAATCCCCTGCATGATCATGGCAGATATTCGGATTGCGCGCACGCTATCCTTCGTTTGTACGTAGTACGAACGTATCTGAGACACGTGATGTGAGTTTTCGCCGTCGGAGACCCCATATGCAGAGTTGCACACTCTGGTATGCTATAGTAGCTACTGGGTGGTGAGCTATAGTACCTACTGGGTGGTGTGCTATAGTAGCTACTGGGTGGTGTGCTATAGTATCTACTGGGTGGTGAGCTATAGTAGCTACTGGGTGGTGAGCTATAGTAGCTACTGGGTGGTATGCTATAGTAGCTACTGGGTGGTGAGCTATAGTAGCTACTGGGTGGTATGCTATAGTAGCTACTGGGTGGTGAGCTATAGTAGCTACTGGGTGGTGTGCTATAGTAGCTACTGGGTGGTATGCTATAGTAGCTACTGGGTGGTGTGCTATAGTAGCTACTGGGTGGTGTGCTATAGTAGCTACTGGGTGGTGAGCTATAGTAGCTACTGGGTGGTATGCTATAGTAGCTACTGGGTGGCGAGCTATAGTAGCTACTGGGTGGTGTGCTATAGTAGCTACTGGGTGGTGAGCTATAGTAGCTACTGGGTGGTGAGCTATAGTAGCTACTGGGTGGTGAGCTATAGTAGCTACTGGGTGGTGAGCTATAGTAGCTACTGGGTGGTGAGCTATAGTAGCTACTGGGTTTTGTTTGTTTGTTTATTTAGAGTCGAACAAACAGGCAAATTTGCCTAATTACATGATATCGACTAAAAAGGAGAATAAATTATAAAAGGCCAATGAAGGTAATGACACTGAGTAGAGTGGGTAGTAAAGTATTACTTTGTTAAAGCCAGTTAGGCCAGTAAAGGAAATAATAATACAGCGGGCAGTGGCATTACTGAAAAGCAGCATGTGCTGGGAGGGATCGCATGAATCGGTGGTACTGTGGGATTTTCCTGATGTCGGGCTGGAGCCTGTTCCACAGTGATACACATTGGAATGAGGCAGAATGCGTGCCAGCGGATGTCTTAGTGACTGGAAATTTAAGTGCTCGATTTCCCTGACTACGTGTAGCATGGCCGGCATTAAGAGGACTGAACATATCGGTAAGCAATGTGCTGCATTTACCCTGAAGGCAGCGCCAAGTGTAGCCAAGCAGCTTGTGGCAGTACATAACTTCTAGCGAGTGCAATCGCAATTGGCAATACAGCGGCGCAGATGGGGATGCAAATGGAGTGTTGTAAACACAGCGGACTGCGCGCTTGAGTAGCCGCTCTAGGCGCTCGAGCTGATGTGAGGTGAGGCCAGCAGAGAAACAGCTGCTAGCATACAGGAAGTCAGGAAGGATCAGGGACTTCAGGTATGTGATGCGGCACGGGAGGGGCATGCAGCGCCTGTTTCTAAACAGGACAGCTATTTTACAGGCAGCTCGACCATTGTGGTCCACTTTAGATCTTGGTCCATGTGGACACCAAGATACTTTGCGGATTCTACTTGTGCCAGTTGAACTCCAGAGCACATAACGCTGACACGAGGATTCACAGAACGATGGGCAGGGATGAACAAAATCTGGGGGGGGGTGGTGAGCTATAGTAGCTACTGGGTGGTGTGCTATAGTAGCTACTGGGTGGTGTGCTATATGTGGTGTGCTATAGTAGCTACTGGGTGGTGAGCTATAGTAGCTACTGGGTGGTGAGCTATAGTAGCTACTGGGTGGTGAGCTATAGTAGCTACTGGGTGGTGAGCTATAGTAGCTACTGGGTGGTGTGCTATAGTAGCTACTGGGTGGTGTGCTATAGTAGCTACTGGGTGGTGAGCTATAGTAGCTACTGGGTGGTATGCTATAGTAGCTACTGGGTGGTGTGCTACGCTAGTAATGGAGTAGCACAGCACAGCACTGGCTGGTCATGCGACTGCATGCATGCAACATACACTGATTGGTGGCAGTGAAGCACATGGCGGCATGTAGCGAGAACACACTCTAAACTTACTGTTGGCCTGAGCTACCAGCAGCTGTGTAGGACATCTGATGATGCTCCTGCTGCTGCTGTTGCTGCTGCTGTTGGTGGTGATGGAGCAATAATTGCACCACACATGGAAGACATGACAAAAGACGATATAACGTTAGTACAGTCATATATACAGAGTGAATATCACACCACGGTCAGGTGCATTGAATCATAAAACATGGCGTAGTTCTGAAACCAGTCGCCACAGAAGTTATGTGGAGAGTTGCACACTGTCTGTTGGGAGTTACGCACTCGTGGTCACGACGACAAAGTAACTTACTGAAGGCAGGGCAGTCTGAGCAGCACCGCTTGCAGCAGAAGCTCCATCTGCTGTCTGTCGTCGCTGCTGTTGTTCACTCGCGCCTACAGAACGCCAGGGGTAGAAGAAAGCATGTGGCTGACGATTCCTAAACCTTAATGATCACAAGCGCTACCGATGGGAACCAAGAAATCGCTCTGCAAAGTACTCTCAACAGAAATCCAGACAGTGCGATACTATCCAGACAGTGCGATACTATCCAGATGCAGCAGCACTGTGGACAAACACTAACTAAGAGTATCTTGTTTCATTGTATTGAAAGAGACACAACCCAAGGCTACTAGGATAGGGTCTAACCTGTGCTTGGTGATGAACTGCCAGCTGGCGCATTGTATGAAAGACGAATTGTCTGACCGTTCGCATCTGCACAAGAATTTCGACGTTAGAACAAACGGAAGCAGCAGAGAATTGATTGCAGACACCAACAGCAGGCAAAAAACACATTTGCAATAATGTCAATGGGCATGCAATCTCAGCCCATGTGTGCTTACAAGTACAGTAAAACCTGTAACTAACGACCACCGTGACCAACGACCACCGTGACTAACGACCACCGTGACTAACGACCACCGTGACTAGCGACCACCGTGACTAACGACCACCGTGACTAGCGGCCACCGTGACTAACGACCACCGTGACTAACGACCACCGTGACTAGCGACCACCGTGACTAACGACCACCGTGACTAACGACCACCGTGACTAACGACCACCGTGACTAGCGGCCACCGTGACTAACGACCACCGTGACTAACGACCACCGTGACTAGCGGCCACCGTGACTAGCGGCCACCGTGACTAACGACCACCGTGACTAACGACCACCGTGACTAACGACCACCGTGACTAGCGACCACCGTGACTAGCGACCACCGTGACTAGCGACCACCGTGACTAGCGGCCACCGTGACTAGCGACCAGCCTGGTACATAATTATACTACTGACTACTTCACCAGGCACGGACGGTCTCACATTCAAAAATGAACTGTGACTAGCGACTAGCTGCTGAACGCGACCAGCGACCGCATTTTCTTGTCCTAATGTCAAATTTTGACCCATACCTAGCGACCGCGATGTAGGAAATCAAAGGTTGTTCATAGCTCCTTTGAAATTTTGATGATCTTCCATGGTCCTGAACGGACTTTTTGATACTACAGCGGAACAAATGACGCAGGCTCATTTTGACTATGGACTGCACTGCATCTGCCATAGTTTAAAGTATTGTCAAGAACAAACATGATAGGAAACGTCTTGGAGAGAGCATCGAAAGCACTCTCTGATCGATGTTACTGCTGGAAGGAGAAACACAGACTGAGTGGCTCTGTCGAAGTGCAATCAGCCCAGTCACCTGGTCACACAGGTGAACACCGTACTCTGTAGTGCTAGAATGCTACAGTACTCACATCAGGGTGGCTGTAGGTGAGACAACTTGCACGATTGCAACATCACCAATTTCGTGAACAAAATTGAAGCCCAGCGCAAAGCGATCCACAGGGAACGCTTGACTCCTGGCTTCAGAAGTAGCAACTGAACGTGATGTCAGCAAATAAAATATTTTTTTCTTTCTCTCTATGTGTTGTGCTATCTGAGATAAGAATGATGACATTGCGCAAGTGGCCGGGAATTGTATAGCTGCACTTTGACAAACATATCATATGATGGGAGCCATAATTATATGGCTGCGCGGTGCAAACCTCTAACTAAAGACCACCTGCCACAAAAGACCGCTCCTCCTGGCGCCAAGGGGTGGTTGTTAGTTACAGGTTTTACTGTCTATAGCATACGGCAGTGGCCAAGGATCAACACATGACTCATGTACTATACCAAGGATCAACACATGACTCATGTACTATACCAAGGATCAACACATGACTCATGTACTATACCAAGGATCAACACATGACTCATGTACTATACCAAGGATCAACACATGACTCATGTACTATACCAAGGATCAACGCATGAGTCATGACTCATGTACTATACCAAGGATCAACACATGACTCATGTACTATAACAAGGATCAACACATGACTCATGTACTATACCAAGGATCAACACATGACTCATGCACTATACCAAGGATCAACACATGGCTCATGTACTATAATCGTTTGAGCAATGCACTGTAGACATACGAGTCATGCACAATAGACATCAAAGTCATGAACTTTAGATGTACGAGTCATGCACAATAAATCAATAGACGTATGAGTCATGCACAATAGACGTATGAGTCATGCACAATAGCACAATCACTCTACTGTAAAGATGGCAACACATTCCCAGGAGGAGGATCAAGTCAGAGAGCATAGAAACCAAAACAAAAGGTGAGCGGCTAACCAGTTTGAGCGGTCATGCTCTGTGTTGGCACAGAGGCTAGCGTGCCAGGCTTCTTCAAGGCTGCTGCCTGTATCACATGTAGAATAATCAAAAAAAAGAACACATCCATCCACTACCAGTGTATTGCAATGTACATGTACATGTGCAGGGAAGATCTGTCCATTATCAGTGTCTAACTTACAGCAATGTATTAGGCTGATAACATCTACATGCCAATACTATACTGGCAATACGTGTACGTGTGAATACATAAGATTCTACAGTACATCTGTGCTGTGTTGAATCACGTTGAAAACAAGAGACAGATGAGAAAGAGAGAGAAAGACACCACAGGAATAGTGCAGTTGTTTTCATAGCCTCATTTCCTTACATCGCCATGTGTGCCATGGGTGCCATGGGCGCGTCCTATTGGACGTATATAGCCTCTACCCCGCGGAGCTTGAGAATGATGGCCTGGTGAGTAGCGTGTTCCAGAGTCCCCCATAACACCCGTACCACTATCCTGCTGCTCCTGCTGCCTTGATGATGATGATGATGATGATGATGATGTCGTTGATAGGCCGGATGATGTCGTTGACAGCCCGGATGATGTCATAGGACGGTCATGAGAAGCGGCTGTAGTGGCAGCAGCTGTGCCACCATGCCGTGTACCTTGGTGACGTGCTGCTGCTGCCCGATCACCGGTCACACAATGGTCTGTTGCTGGTCTTGGATTAGGATGAGGCTGTGATGCACCTTTGCGCTGTTGCTGAGCTGGCTGCTGCTGCTGCTGCCTGCGCTGCTGTTGAACAGGCTGCTGTCTGTGTTGCTGTTGGGCATTTGGCTGCTGCTTGCGCTGATGTGATTGCTGTTGCTGCTGCTCAGCACCTAAAGGTGCCGGTCTTCGATTGTCCTTCACAACATTACTCCCAGCAGCCATCGTTTTAGCTTTCTGTGCTCGACCAGTAGGCGGCGTTTTATCTCTGCTGGTAGCCAATAGGTGAGGATGTCGAGGTGTGACCGGCCGATCAAGCGGTCTGTCCAGCTCACTGAACTGCTGCGCACTGACACCAGTCCTTGGACGTGCTCTCTGCTGAGCCTTGGCTGGGAAAACCTACATGTGCACACACACACACACACACACACACACACACACACACACACACACACACACACACACACACACACACACACACACACACACACACAATTGTACGTCTACTTGCTCATTGCCATAGACTGGTCACATGGGCTCCACAGGAGAGGGGAGAGAGGTTCAAAAGGAGTCTTGGAAAATGACTTAATAGGCTGTTGAACGGCCCAACGACCGACAACCTCTGAAATCCCAGATTCTGAGTGGACTTGGAAATGATCGCACTTATGGGTTCACCACACCGCATATGCAATGAATCACATGTGCATTGCAGGATGTCACCACCGTTCGTGCTCAAGGGAACATGTTTGCAAAAACATGCCACCGTGTCTCCAGCTATGCATTCTTGTTTACTTCCCTCCATTCCAGTGTTGTCTAACTCTAAGCTAAACATGACCTGCAGTACAGACACACTGCATAACGGTTGAATAGAGATTTCAGGCCAGGACCATGGTCAGGATTCGTAAACTCACTCTGCATAAGACAAAGACATACATGTCCCAGGCAAAGAATGTCTCTGCCTCCCCGTCCAGAAATTATGTGTGTTCATACCGTATGTCCGCACCTTTAAAGCCATGGCGGTAAATTCGATTATAAAGCCAGTCTCAGTTATAAAGCCGTGGGCTTCGTAAATGAAATGACATTCGAAGTATGTTTTGTAAAAATGAAGGAATAAGTACAATGCCACCAAACTTACAGCCCAGCAGGAAGGGTGAACAAGTAGATTTAGATTGAAATTTCAGTGTGTACTTTGAGTTTTACAGCATGGCGTAGTGGGTGAGTCATTTTGCATCTAAAATACAGTATGCGCCATGAGCACATGAACAAACAGGGGCTAGTCACGAACAGACAAGGTTACTCATAAGCCAGTAATTACTCACAAGCAAGTAATTCTTGCACAGTAAATCCTCCCCACAAGGTTGGTCAGCATTGGGTGTGAGGTAGTCACCTCGATCAATATCATCCAAGTTGTCTACTTCGTCCTATGAAAGGCAGCACGCAGAGACAAGACACATGCAGAACAAGTTACGTGAAAGGCTGAAATCCATTCTCCTCTGTTGTCACAAGGCTACTCGGTGGATGCCCGCTTAGAAAAAGTTCAACTAAAACAAACACTCTTCTTTTACTTTGGCATCTCCCATAGGACATTGGCCTTCTTACTGGGGCCCAAAGGAAGGGCATGAACGAACTTGTTTCTTCTTTTCGAAAGTTGCTGGGAATGAGCCCGGAACCCTGCGGTTCTGACTAGGGCTCAAACAGTTAGTCCGATTAACCGGTTTAAGATAAAGGTTTTGAAAAGATAAAGGTAAACCGTTTGTGTAAAGGTTACGCGGGTACTTTTTCGAGTTTTCGAAGTACGCATTTTTACCGAGTTTTGGCAGTTTTACAACCTATCGTGTATGTACACATGCATACATGCACACTACATACGTACCATCCGTGACAATTTGAATCAATTTCATGCCATCTTTAATGCTTCTGGTCTGTGAATAGGCGTGAATGAGCATGCCAACATGTGCATGGATTAGTACTTAGTAGTAAGTCTGCAGACCAGGGAGTCGTAATATTTTACGACTCCCTGGTCTGCACAGTACATTTTTGACCAAGTATATTGTACAATACTGTTCAAACTAGCTACGCGCCAGACTGCTGCAGCTTATAGGTTATAACCGATAAACCGACCGTTAGCGTAGCAGTTAACCGTTAAGGTGAAAACCGTAGCCGTTTGAGCCCTAGTTTTGACATACAGCTTATCCTTGGCAATCCTCTAGCTAGAGAGAGAGAGAGAGAGAGAGAGAGAGAGAGAGAGAGAGAGAGAGAGAGAGAGAGAGAGAGAGAGAGAGAGAGAGAGAGAGAGAGAGAGAGAGAGAGAGAGAGAGAGAGAGAGAGAGAGAGAGAGAGAGAGAGAGAGAGAGAGAGAGAGAGAGAGAGAGAGGGAGAGAGAGAGAGGGAGGGAGGGAGGGAGGGAGGGAGGGAGGGAGGGAGGGAGGGAGGGAGGGAGGGAGAGATCGGAAAGGTAAGGCCAATGCTTGGAGGCACAGCATTCATCTCACAAAGTTGCTGGAAAGAACAGGGCCAAAGATTGGAGTGACTAAATCCTCATACAATCATCTAGACGTCCTGACACCTAGCTTCAACACATCTCCGTAGCGCTAACCGACAGCCTTCCAACTTGCAAGGTTCAAGGTTATGGAAAGACCAAAGAGGGGAAGGCAAGCGCAACGAAAACGAGCCGCAAAAGCTACAGTCCCAACGGAACAAAGAATGTCGATTGTTACTGGACGACGACGAGACCAGTACGATATTTGACAAAGCGGTCTAACTACAATTCGAAGCTTTCGTTGCGCTTGCCTTCCCCTCTTTGGTCATAACCTTGAACCTTCCAAGTTGGAAGGCTGTCGGTTAGCGCTACGGAGATGTGTTGAAGCTAGGTGACAATCATCTAGAGCTGACATTTTTTGATCCTACCGTTTTTCTTGGAGCCATCAGGCAACAGTCAGTTTCTCCAAACCGTCAGAACAAGGAGACATTGATCAAACTAAGAAAATTAATATGGGCCTCAACCAGCGAAAACAGCCCTTTGGGTCAATTTTTTCAAAATTCCTTTTGGTTAGAAATTTGTTGAAACACATCTACTGAAGGACCTCAGCCAAGAAAAAGTTCAATATTCATATTCAAAACGGGTGTATACACCAATATACAAGGTGTACTCCAAATTGGTGCAATGTATGTATACAATGTATGTGTACAATAAATATTCAGCATTCTAAGGTGGGTAGGCAGCTTGAATACCTTTGAAATAGTGCAGTGTAGTGCTGGGATTAGTGCTATCATAGTGGTCAGTGTTATGTTGTAGAGTACACTCATACCTCGGTTATCCGGACCCTGAAGTTACGGGCACTTCGGTCTACCGGGCACTATTTGGGCGAGTTTCAGCGGAAATATTACTACTCTTTTGTCACTTTTCGTAGAAATATTGACGTCATATGCCATATCGATGGCCTTTTCCCCATCAAGATGTATATGATTCGGAGTTACGGGCACCCTCGAAGTTACGGGCAGTGTCCGGTCCCGAAGCGCCCGGATAAGAGAGGTATGAGAGTATAGGCTATAGCACTAACGCCATCATACTATAGTGTAGAGTTTGGCACATTCCGTATTGTGTTATAAGCGGAGTGTCGCATCATGCAGAATCAGAATACAGATCTTCTGGAACCAAGTAGTTGCTCTGGCAAGCGTGGGCTACGGTACTACATTGGCGCAGTGAACCGGCAGTCAAGCATCTGGACGCTATGGCGAAGGGCCGGCCACCCAAGGAATTTCATCCTGACTTCGGACAAGACACGGGTGCCGACTTCGACCTATGGCTGGAGGATGTGAACGACTACATGAAGATCTGTCAAGTTTCGACTCCAGAGGACAAGAAGTGTCTCTTCTTGAATCTGGCTGGTCTTGGGATCAGGAAGATTGTCAAGGGTCTGGTTGTTCCCGCTCCAAGTGATGCAACACACGACGACCCAGGAGACACATACAAAGCCCTTACAGAGGCAGTCCGTGCTCATTTTCGCCCATCCAGAAACACGACGTCTGAAAGGCACAAGTTTCGGCAGATTAAACAGACGCCAGATGAATCTGTCTCCACCTTCGTTAGTCGGTTACGCGAGAAGGTGGAGTGGTGTGACTTTGCAGCGACAGACGTGGACTCGGCCGTCAACACACAGGTGCGTGACCAACTGATTGCAGGGTTGCGATCGCAGGAGCTGCGACGGGAACTGCTAAAGGAGGCAAAGCTGACGCTAGCGGATGCCGTTTCAAAGGCTGTGGCCCTAGAAGCATCTTTCTCCGACTGCAAGCTATACGAAAGTCAGACGAGTCCAGGAGGCTTGGAGACATCAGCGCCTAGAGGACCAGAATTGGCTGCTGTAGTTTCGGGCAGCGTCTCGGGTGGAATCGGAAGTGGCGACCGGCGCGCCATGGGGAAGACGTCCACCAAGAGCCTAGGATGCAAATACTGTGGTCGTGTACATGCCAAAGGCAAGCAATTTTGCTCGGCTGCACATGTAAGGTGTCGGGACTGTGGCAAAGTAGGTCATTTTGCAGCAGTCTGCCTCTCCAGCAAAGCTCATGCGGTGCAGGATGAGGACAGTGAAGCCGCACGAATTGTGTACGATTCGATTTACGCTTGCAGCGACAAGGCAGTCAGTGGTCAATTCACTATGACGCTCATGGTGAATGGCAGGCCGTGCGAGGGACTTCTCGATACCGGCGCAACACGGACAATCCTGACGGATGATGTGGTACAGCCCACTCGCTGCAGTGATCGTAAGCTGCGCGCATACAATGGCGGCGAAGTCAAGACGCTTGGCATGGCGGATGTCGATGTTGCCGTCGGGGAAAGGTCAATCCAATGCGAATGTTTCGTTGTACCGGCAGGCCGGCGAACTGTACTGTTTGGCCAGGATGTTATCGCACAACTGGAGCTGCTGGTGAACGCCCACCTGGCAGACACGGCACGGCTGGTGGACACTGCTCCCGTGTCCATCACTGTCGACCAGAAAGCACGGCCTGTGGCGCAGCCAGCTCGTCGTCCACCGTTCAGCGCCAAGGCTGACATCGACAAGGAGCGGACGCGATTAGTGAATGCGGACATTATTGAACCAGTGAAAGAGGCGTCGCCCTGGGTGTAGCCTGTCGTCCCTGTGCGTAAGTCGAATGGTTCACTCCGATTATGCGTAGATTATCGGCAATTGAACAAATCTATCATTAGGGAGCGGCACTGCTTACCTACTGTGGATGAGATCACGGGAGAGCTAGCAGGCGCGCAGGTCTTCTCAGTCTTGGATGCGGAATCTGGTTTTCATCAATTGCTATTAGAGGAAGAATCCCGATTCTTCACAACCTTTGCTTCGCATTGCGGCTTATACCGATTTAAGAGGTTGCCGTTTGGCATCTCTTGCGCTCCTGAAATTTTTCAACGTGTTGTTTCTGACATCTTGGCTGGTTTACCCGGTGTTACTGTCTATATAGACGACATCTTGATCTTTGGCAAGAATCGAGTGGAACATGATGCTCGTCTAGCGAGTGTTCTAGAACGTTTGAGGGCAGCGAACCTCAAACTGAACTGGGACAAGTGTAACATCGGCAAGGATCAGGTGAAGTACCTCGGACACATGCTAACCAACGACGGAGTTCAAGCCGACAGCAGCAAGCTCAGCGCTATTTCCGAGATGGCACCGCCAAAGACAGTGGCAGATGCTCAGCGCTTCCTGGGTATGGTCACCTACCTCGGAAAATTCGTGCCTTGTCTGACTGGTGCCACAGACCCTCTGCGTCGGCTGATGAAGCGTGAGCCGTTCACTGTGGATGAGAGCCTGTTGAGCGCATTCGCAGCCGGCAAAGAAGCAGTGGTCTCCTCCCTACAGACGCTCGCTTATTTCCAGCCATCTATGGACGTAGCAACAGCCATCAGCTGTGACGCTTCACCCACCGACCTTGGGGCGATATTATGGCAGCAGAGCGAGTCTGGTCAATGGCTGCCGATTACATGTGCCAGCCGCACACTCACAGACGTCGAGTCACGGTACTCTCAAATGGATAGGGAGATGCTCGGGGTAGTGTTTGCGCTAACACGGTTTCGTCAGTATGTCCTGGGTCGCCACGTGCAGGTACACACCGACCACAAGCCTTTAATTCCGATCGTCCAGAAACCATTTGACGAAGTTCCCCTCGACTCCAACGGTGGTTGGTGGCTCTTATGCCTTACGATTATACCCTGAAGCACGTGCCGGGTAAGGAGCTATTCTGCACTGATGCGCTGTCCAGAGCCCCAGTTCCAACAACGGATGCTTCGCCTGCAGAATCGCGTTCTCTACACGAGTATGTTGGTCTAGTGCTGGAGGCAGCCCCGGTAAGTCTCGACGACATTCGCTGTGCTGCTCGAGATGACCCAGGCGCAAGCAAAGTAACCCAACGCGTGCTGACTAATTCATGGCATGATCTCTCGTCGTGCGAGCAGCAGTACTACCTCATCCGAGATCAGCTGACTGTGGTCGACGGCATCTTGATGATGGGCGGGTGGTTCGTGATTCCGGAAGGAGTGCGATCAGCAATTATGACACTGGCTCACGAGGGGCATCCAGGGCAAGAGGCGTTCTTAGACACTCTTCACCAGAGAGTCTGGTGGCCAGGGATGACCGGAGACGCAGGAATCTTCGTGGAGCGTTGCTCCGAGTGCTGGAGAAGGCGCGCAAACAGTCCGCAGGAGATTCTACCGATAGAGATTGTTGGCGTCTGGAACAAACTGGCAATCGACATCGTGACAATTGATGGATATTCTATTCTTTCGGTCATCGACTACGGGTCTCGGTATCCTCTCCTACTGCGCTCGACTACCTCTGCCGCAGTCATCGAAGAGCTTGAGGACATTTTTGCTACTTTTGGCATACCCGATACCCTTGTTTCCGACAATGGGCCGCAGTTCGTCTCCGGGGAGATGGAGACTTTCCTCAGTCGCCTTTGCATTTCCCATGTTCGCTCCAGCCCACGGTACGCCCGCTCGAACGGCATGGTGGAGCGACTACACAGGGTGGTGAGGGAGAGATTGGCTGCTTTGAAAGCACACCTCCCATTCCGACGCCGGCTCAACCAAGTGCTGTTTGACATCCGCAGCTCGCGTCACAGGATGTTGGGCACATCACCGAGCGCAGCACTGTTCTCTCGGCAGCTGCGAACAAGAATCCCAGCTCGTATAGACCCTATGATCGTCAATCCACAGCATCAGTTGAAGGCTAAAGCAGGCATGGCCAACGATCACGATTCTCGATGAGGTGTACGCATGCTGCCTGACCTAAGGCCTGGCACGAAGGTTGTGGTGCAGGATGGCTACTGCGACACGGCAAGGCCGTGGACGGTGGTGAGTCAGTACGGTCGTCAGGTTGGAGTAACGGATGGCTCCCGATACCTACTCCGAAGCCGGCAGCATGTCCGCGAGTACATTAGCTCTCACAAACCCGTCGAGTGTCCGCCTATGCCATTATTACCTCAGTCGAGACAGGATACGTCTTCTGCGCAGAGGTCGGTGTTGACCCCTCCGCATCCAGTGGATTCACCCCCGGCGTCGCATCAGCCTTGTGTCACCCAGAATCCTGAGCTCCAAGATACATCCGAACGGTCGGCGACCGAACAGATCACTGCTGATTGCGAACCCGTGGCGTCCAGCAGTGGGGACCGCCGTTTCATAGATGGGGCAGTCACCCGCTCCGGACGGCAGATCAAGCTGACAGAGAAGGCCCGTCTGTATTCGGACAGTCTGCGCTAGACATTGTATGAGCTTTGGTATTTGCCACATTGCGTTACTTAAGTTCTGCTCAACCTTCATTGTGTTCTTCGCTTATACTTATAGCCTTTCTGCTTATCTCTTCTTCATTGAGAGGGAGTAATGTAGTGCTGGGATTAGTGCTATTATAGTGGTCAGTGTTATGTTGTAGAGTATAGGCTATAGCATTAACGCCATCATACTATAACAGTTAGTGTAGAGTTTGGCACATTCCGTATTGTGTTATAAGCCGAGTGTCGCATCATGCAGAATCAGGATACAGATCTTCTGGAACCAAGCAGTTGCTCTGGCAAGCGTGGGCTACGGTACTACATGCAGTAAGCAGCTAGAATGACAAAGAATAGCTGAAGAGTGCGGAGACATGATCGACTTATTTGCAGCTGCATCCTGCGTGGAGCCGTTCCGCAATGTCTTCCATTTCTTCCTCCGCAGCTAACGACACGACGTCGCTGCCGTCACTAGCCCCAGACTCAGAATTTATCTCAGGTGATGACTCCTCATCTTCCGACTCTGACGAGTCATCGACCACCTTGAGCCGCAACGCAGCAGGAGATGACGGCTGCGATTCCGCCTCGCTGTCGACATCGATGTCGGAACCAAAAAACGTCTCATCCTCACTCTGAACTTCAGCGGCTACTTCAGCATCCCCTCCCCACCAGGCTCGAGCTAGCTGTACACAATGACTGCCGCGTGTGCTCTGCGAACAGCTCTGGCGTCCGCAGCCATCGCAACAAGATCAAGGAACACTCGAGTCGCCACTCGACACCACTTCAACTAACTAACTAAATTTACTTCAAATAAATTCAAGCAAGGAGTTCAAGAAGAACTCGTCGCGCTGTTTGCAGCGCGATCAAAAAAATCGTTGAGCGTCACAAATCGACCTTTTTCTTGAAAAAATGACGAAACCTCTAAGGGTCGCTTTCGCTGATTGCGGCTCATATAAAATATCGTGCAAGCATGTTGTACTTCCGATAATCTACGAAATGCATCGCAGCCCGCAAACAAACTACGCTGCTGACAAGGAACATCGTTAATTTGGTGAATATTAGGGCAAACTGCACATAGCCCGACTGCAAGCCAGTTCATGACCTCGTATTCCATGCAGGAATATGCAAAGGCACACCCTACACACATACACACACACACACACACACACACACACACACACACACCCCTACACACACCCCTACACACACATACACACACACACACACACACACACACACACACACACACACACACACCCCACACACCCCTACACACACCCCTACACACACACACACACACACACACACACACACACGCACACTCACGCACGCACACACACGCACGCACACACACACAAACTACGCACCCACCACCCACATCCAGCATACCTCCTCCTCTTCCTCCTCTTCGTCACCGGACTCGGCATTTGTATCCATCATGCCATCATCTGTATGAACACAGAAGACAAACGGTGCATTCCTCGCATTAACAAAACTAGCAGAGTACTAGTAGTCATCACATTAACGAAGCTAGTAGTGCCTTCATCGCAGCTACACAGCTAGTAGTGCCTTCATCGCAGCTACACAGCTACACAGCTACACAGCAACACAGCAACACAGCTACACAGCTACACAGCTACACAGCAACACAGCAACACAGCTACACAGCAACACAAGCACACCTGTACTAGCTGTACTACAGCCAGACGTCGCTTTCAAAGGAACAACCAGGTAGACACTATGGTCTAACCAGGTAGACACTATGGTCTAATTAGGTTGTAAGTGCTTGCTGCAATTTCGCTCTAACCGATTCCCCATAGGTTGGCGAGGATACAGGATAATTAATGACAGGATTACTCAAGAGTGAAGACAGAAGGAGAAGAAGACAAGGAGAGGAGAAAGACCATCTGTCCAGAGCTACAGTAGCATCATGCACGCTGAACATACAGACAGCTTGTACATTACATTGTAATACCTGAGCTCAATTGATTGATAATGTAGCCAAGTTGACTGGCCATGTGCGGAGGACTGGTTTTCTGCAACTCCTCGATAAATGCTCCAAGGCCCTGCGGGTCAAGGACAGAACAGAGGCAGGGCCAATGGCATCGACCAAGTAAAAGTCATCGAAAAAGAGCAAAGAACAAACACTGCAATGCGCCTACACATGATAGGCAACAGAATTATTCGACACAGCATAGCACTGGCAGTACACCACACCAGCACTGGCAGTACACCACACCAGCACTGGCAGTACACCACACCAGCACTGGCAGTACACCACACCAGCACCGGCAGTACACCACACCAGCGCTACAAGTAGAGGCCACAACCGTACAGCACGAGAAAAAATACATGAACGGTCAGCTTTGTTTTTCGTTTTTTTAACTTTTTTCGGTCTTACCATTTCTCTGGCCTGCTCCCTGATCTGCGGTACAGTCAGCAAACTGTACAGGGAACCATTGATGTAAGACCGGATCAGCAAGTCATCCCCCTCCATCTGATCAGACAGCACGCTCAGTATTTGATGGCTATCGGTAATGCAGTACAGTTTTCCTGAACAAAAAAATTGATCAGTGCACCAGACAGCATTTTTCTTTCAAACACAGCCAAAAACCATCAAACTACAGATTGCTTCAGATCGGCTGATGACTAGGCAGCATCCAGAGTACAGAGGAGTGTTTGACCGAGCAGACAACACGGGGGAATTTTCATTGACCATGTATGGTCTGCCTCTTATCAAACCCTCTAAACAACTGTGACATGGTACTGACCTCAGCTAGACTTTGCAGGGTAGGTCTAGATATGGCATTGCTGACTTCATCTGGTATAGCTGCCTATCTCAAATGGAAGACACCTGAACAAATCAGATATGATCTCCCGTGTGTGTGTGTGTGCGCGCGCGCGCGTGTGTGTGTGTGCGTGTGCATGCATGTGTGTGTGTCTGTGTGTGTGCGTGTGTGCAGGTGTGTGTGTGTGCGTGTGTGCGTGCGTGCGTGCGTGCGTGCGTGCGTGCGTGCGTGCGTGCGTGTGTGTGTGTGTGTGTGTGTGTGTGTGTGTGTGTGTGTGTGTGTGTGTGTGTGTGTACTGCCTACCTGCAGTTCTCAAACACAGGTTCATCATCAGTGCACTGGTATAGTGCAGGGTGGGCTCGGACATGGAGTCGACATCAGCAAGAGCATTCATAAGCCACTTGATCATATCGCATTTTATCATCCTTGTCTGCAGGGATTTCCTGAGGGACAAAGACAGACAGACAGACAGACAGACAGACAGACAGACAGACAGACAGACAGACAGACAGAGAGGGAGGGAGAGAGAGGGAGGGAGAGAGAGGGAGAGAGAGAGAGAGAACAGACCATGTAATAACCCCAGATTTCGACATGTATTCCATAGCAGCATCACAGAGATGCCAGTAGACGATTTCAATCCTCGGTGTTGTCCTACAATAGCCATTTCCCACCTGCCCAGAAGTCCAACATTCACAGATTGACCTGCCTACTACAAGACTACTACCGCATTAGCCGGAGCATAGTGCGCACTTGATATGCTATCTCAGGTCCCAAATCGCAGGTGCGCACTATGCTCCGAATATGAAAAAGCATGCACTTCGAAAAGTAGTGCAATGCCTTGCAAAGTTTGTCACCTCTCACCCTGCGCAGGCCGAATGTGTGCATTTCAAGTGTCTGCTGCCAGTTACAACTTAACAGGGCTCACAGCCGCGTACAAAAGCGTGGGCGCCATATTGGACAGGCCGCTGTCACGCGAGCCAGGCAGTATGCCAGAATCGTGTACATGCGATCAGGCAAATATCTCACGAAGCTTGCAAGTGGGGTGCATTCAAAATGTTCATTTGTACCAATGCTAACTCCTAGGCCTTTCAAACTCTAGGAACATACTCTCAATACCCATTGTAAGGATTTGTCCGAGAGTTTTTTGTTTTAATCAATGCGGTTTGGCGTACATACGGAGCCAAAGTATCAGTTGGTGCAGGCGTAATTCTGACATGAATTATTGTCCTAAAATTGAAAAGTCTCTCGGACAAATTCTTCTAATTTTCCTACTGAAATTTTTAAGCTATTGGCCATCAAAATCGGGCAAGAGACGGGTACGAACGAACATTTCGAAGGCGACCCTATCTGCAGTGCAGCGGCGAAGAAGAACCGCGCGCGCTGCACCGGTTGTGAATGTGGAAACAACACCACAGCAAGGCGAATTTTCGAAATGTTTTTGCTACTCGCCTGCCGCTTCATCGCTGTGTCCTTCAGGAGTTATGGCCGACTGAAGAAATACATGGCCAGCACAACGGCAAAGCCATTGGACGTGTTCTCTTGCAACGAAACGGAGTGGCGAATCAAATAATTCACAACCCCACATCGTCACTACTGCGTTGCGCGGCTCTTCGCAGACAAGGCGTGTTTAGTATTTACATTGTAACTGATGCTACTGTCGTGGACATGGAAATCCAGTTGATTGGCCAGGGCCGGCGCCCTCAGCGCGTACAGTACGTTGCATGCAGTGCATAATCATGTTGATGCGATGCGACCAGCACCTTGGGGCCGCTAGACGTGTGACCGGATTTCCATGTCCACGACAGTAATTCCAGGAAGGTTTGGGAAATTGAGATTGTGTGAATGCTGTGTACTGCTAGCAGTGTGGCCATAAAGTAGATGCAGGTTTTTGTTATTTTGTACTTTACAAGTCTCGGTATGGTATTTGCATGTATGATGCACATCTGTTTGTGTACGTCCTAAGTCGTAAAGTTATCACTTACATACTTGGAAGTACCGCCCTGTCCCATCGCATGTAGTGATGATCGTCAAATCACACTTCTTCAAACACCCACGCTATAACAGATCTCTACCTGTATATGCAACTGGAATTCTGCAGTACCATGGGACTTACAACAAACTGAGCTTCTGCAAAGCTGCCACCAAACAGTAGGTTGTTGCGCTCTCACTGTCACTTTTCTCCAACACACTGTGCAGTATCTCCACAAGCGACGGATGTCGACTCAGGTACCTACGACCTATATGGGGCACACAGCATAAACACACACACACAAGCATGTAAAATGCGCATACAAGACTTCCCACTACAGGTTTGCCAGGCACATGCATGAATGAATGCACGATGGAAGTTACCCCCATCCCCCCACACACACACCCACGCCTCCCCCCCCCCCCCCCCCCACACACACACACACCCATCCACCCCTCCATCCATCCAGACACAAATACCAGTCCTTACCAGCAGCGATGGAAGCAAAGGCATTAAGAAGTCGAACAGCACTTTCCTGCAGTTCCACCTTGCTTGACTGCAGTGTTCTGTGTATGTACTCCTGTACACAAAGTAACAGTAGACAGCAATAATGACAGTTACAGAGTCAGTGACAGTGACAGTAAGAGCAGTGCAATGGGAAAAACCTACCGTAGTGTCTTGTATAGTAATACATCCTATCTCATAATTATAGAAGCCTGTTTTGAATAGAAGCCTGTTTTGAATAGAGGCCTGTTTTGAATAGGGGCCTGATTTTCAAGATACACTGTCGGCACATATTTAAAGCCTGGTTTTAGTGCTGATACACATAGAAACACCTGGTTAAACACCTGGTTTGAGTAGAAGGCTGATGTGAATACAGTGAAGCCTGTCTAAGGTGACCACTCAAAGGACGAGAAAAAGTGGTCACCTTGGCCAGGTGATCTTCTTATCCAGGTTCAGTGGGTCACGTGAACATATCCACTATACACGTACATGTGATATTATCATTTTGTTGATCAGTGCATCACACTGCACACACCTAGCATACAGTCATGTAGGTACCTATGCTACTATCACGACTCACGTGCCTGGGGGCATCAGGCCTGTCAAGTGTCGTGCATGCACCATGTACATCTACACTCTCTGCTGCGCTGGTCTGTAGATCTAGCATGTGTGGTGCACAGACTCAGTGCAGTGCTGGTCTGTAGATCTAGCATGTGTGGTGCACAGACTCAGTGCAGTGCTGGTCTGTAGATCTAGCATGTGTGGTGCACAGACTCAGTGCAGTGCGTGCATGTACATGTACTAGTAGGGTGCAACGCGGTCGCGGACGGGAGGGTGGTCGCTGGTCGCGTTGAGCGAGTGGTCGCTGGTCGCGTTGAGCGAGTGGTCGCCTTATCTGAGCTGTTTTGAATGTGAATGCGTCCGTGACAAGGAAAAGTGGTCGCCATGGTCGAGTGGTTGCCATATCCGAATGGTCGCCATATCCGAATGGTCGCCATATCCGAATGGTCGCCATTACAGATTTTACTGTACAGGCCTAGCCCTGACATCAGCTTCTACAGGAATAAGCCCGGCTTTAATGCGCGACATTTACGGTATCAGAACAAGTAAATACATACTTACCAACCCTACCGGATTTTAAATACATACTTGCCAACCCTACCGGATTTTCCGGGATAATCCCGGTAAAATTGCTTTCCTCCCGGCATACCGGAAAAGTTCTAAAATCTACCGGAATTTCGAAAAATGTGCTTGAGCACCTTGTTTTCAAGCTTTCATTGTTTTGACCAGTTTGGGCCGATATGTTTAGCGCTTGCACGCTGTGGAGCGGGCATCCAAGCAATCAGATGGCTTTCACGCGTCTCCCTGTGTAAAAACTATCTCAGTTCCGCTTTGCAATGGACTGTGCGGTTTGCACCCCAGTTCAGGTACCCTTTTCACTTGTCAAATTTCGCAGCACTGCACTGTGTACGATAACATCATGAAAAATCGCCAAATAAGGGAGCTCACCAAATACGGGAGCTAGCTGGCCAGAGCCAGGGCTCAAATACGAGAGCTAGCTGGCCAGAGCCAAGGCTCATCTTTTTATGAATGGACTGTGATTGCATAGGCAGAGGTCCAAGGAAGGAGATTGATTTGATTGATTTGACAGTTGGAAGTTGGTGTTGTCGTTTCGTGGTGGCCGTTGACCGTTGCATCGTAGTACCGGTGAATATAGTATGCAATGTGACTATGTCCGACTCGGAGATTAGCGATGCTTCAAGCGATGGTCCGAGCACACCACGCAAAAAGCGAATCGCTTGCCACACCTCCAGCAAGGGGCAATCGGAATGGACTAAGTATGGCATGAAGCCGAGCAAGAAGGGTTCGCAATTTGCGTTTTGTACTCTTTGCTCTTGTGACTTTTCCGTTGCTGGTGGTGGAGTGCACGAGGTCAAGAGGCACTGCGACTCCAGAAAGCACAAGGTGAATTTAAAGGCTATGTCACACCAGCCAACGCTAACTGCTGCCCTGTTCAATTCCCAGCCGTCGGTGCGTGACCAGGTGACCACCGCCGAACTCTACTTCACGTCGTTCCTTGTGGAGCATAACATTCCTCACGCCGCGTCAGACCACTTCACGGAGTTATGCAAGAGGATGTTTCCTGACAGCAACATCGCCAAAGAATATGCAAGCGGGCGAACTAAGACCACAGCCATTGTGACTCGTGCTCTAGCCCCAGCAGCTGACAAATCAGTTACGGACGCCTGCAAGTCTGCTGCATTCTCCATACTGTGCGACGGAGGCAACGACAGAATGCATAAGAAATATTTTGGAAAATGGTTAGGTACTGGGACGAGTCGCTCGGTGCGGCTGTTTGCCGTTTCCTTGCGATGCCCGTGTGTAACATCGCCACTGCAGAAGAAACCCTGTTTAACGCACTGCAGCAGGGGTTGGAAAAGCGTTCCATACCGTGGAGCAACGTCGTTGGCTACGCCTCAGACAGTGCGAGCGTAATGGTTGGCAAACGGAATTCCGTGGTCAGTTGCATTCTGGAGAAGCAGCCCAAAGTGTACAGCCTTGCCTACGTATGCCATCTTGCCGTTCTTGGTGCTGCTGCAGGCTTGGAAGTGCTACCTATATCAATCGACATGCTGCTTGTTGATATATTCTACCACTTCAAGCATTCCTCGAAGAGGTGGCAAGAGTTCTCTGACATGCTGGCCGACTTTGAGGATATTGCCCCGATGCGTGTCCTCAAGCACTGTACCACGAGGTGGCTCAGCCTGGAACGCGCCACAACACAATTGCTTGCTCTCTGGCCTGCTCTTCACACGTACTTCGACCGGGAAGCAGAAACAGGCAACGAGCGAATGAAGAGAATAGCGGAGCTACTTGGAAGGGCTGAGACTAAGTTGTACGTGAACTTTGTTTCATTTGCGTTAAAACCGCTCAACGCTTTCAACATGGCATTTCAATGCAGACCGATGTCCACACATTACTGAGAAGCTTTCTGGCCAACTTCGTCAAACCAGAGGTCCTATCAGCGGCATCCGATCTGACAAAGGTCCAGTACACCAACCAATCCGTCCAGCATTCTGATGAGGAGCTAGGCATCGGTACACCTGCCCGACTCCTGCTACTCAGCAGTTCAGATGAACTTGAAGGAACACAGGCTGAGAGGAACTTCTTCCGTGCAGTGCTCTCGGAGATGAAGTGATGTCCGAGTTTCTCGACTTCCGTGCCACCCCTGATGAGCTGCTTCCTGCTTTCGATGCATCTGAAAGTGGCTTCCTGGACACGTTCTGGCATGCACTGAGCAAGATACCAAAGCCTGGCGACAGCAGCAAACTGCGATTTGGCCAGCTCGCTCAGCTGGCCAAGGTTTTGCTTGTCCTTCCCCATGGCAATGCTGACCCTGAGCGCCTGTTCAGCATGGTTAACAAGGTGGAGACAGACCAGCGTGGACGTCTTCTCCCATCAACCGTTTAAGACCTGGTGAAGGTCAAAATCAATTGCCAGGCAACCACAGCGTGTCACGAAAGTGGCAAGCTGTTCACACAAGATCTTGTCCACCTGGCTAAGTCTGCCACTCGGGAAAGTTTGCAATCTGCGTCGTCTGCTTGATTTCGCCCCTGGACTGTTTGCTATTATGTACTACACGGTCAGCGGATTTAGCACTTCCTATGCTGTACAAACACTCAGTCAGCGGATTTAGCACTTCCTTTGCTGTACAAACACTCAGTCAGCGGATTTAGCACTTCCTTTGCTGTACAAACACTCAGTCAGCGGATTTAGCACTTCCTTTGCTGTACAAACACTCAGTCAGCGGATTTAGCACTTCCTTTGCTGTACAAACACTCAGTCAGCGGATTTAGCACTTCCTTTGCTGTACAAACACTCAGTCAGCGGATTTAGCACTTCCTTTGCTGTACAAACACTCAGTCAGCGGATTTAGCACTTCCTTTGCTGTACAAACACCAGCTTGAAATTATTTAGTTTATGTTCTGCTGTGGTATTTCCGGTGTGTTGCTACACGTTCGACTATTTCTTCTCCTTTTTTTCTTTTACCTGCTGTATTGTTGTATCTACGTGGTTATAACATAGTATGTGCCTGTGGGACATTGTGCTTGAACACAGTTAGTTCTGGTAGAAGAATTATTCTACATATTACTAGTACTCTTACCTTCTGATCGGTGTTCATGTAAACAAAAAAGCGGCAGCATTTTTAGCTCCGCCTATTTCGACAAAACTAGTTTGCGGTCATGATTACTTCACTATGATGTCATATACATGTACATTATTGCACAATAATGATGTTTCCTAGGAACTCTTCAACTCTACCATGCAGCGTGGTCCAATATTTCACCTATTGGGCATCATATACACTGCAATAGCAAATCAAGGAAAATCATATCAATAGGGAGGTTCCGGAGAACGATTTTTCGTGCCAAAATCCGTAGAGGCGCTACGGATTTTTTATACGTCGTTTTCGACCAGTGAAATGTTCCGGAGTACGAAACTTACATGTTTGCCGTCATTGCCTAGGTTACGATCGCAAACACGTCACATTCCCGCGCCATGCCTTTTTATTTTGAAAATTTGTACCGAAATCAAAACTTCCCGCGGAAAATCTATGTTTCTCGTACCAAATTTGTACGCGAAAATCTTTCTGCACCCGATGACGCAAAATCTCCATACGAAACATGGTTCGTATGAAAGCCAGTCCACACGGATTCTCTGTGCCGAAAAATCGTATAGAGCACGCCTGGAAAAAATCCGTAGCGCCCATACGGATTTTGGCACGGAAAATCGTACCCCGGAACCTTTATAATGTCAAGGAAACTGTTTGCCTGGGGTTGGCAAGTATGTAAATATAAATATTAAAAAAGGAGACGTAGCTGAAAGGACACTGGGCATCGCGCACACAACGGCTAGTGTCAGAAAACGTGGAAGGCCGCGGAAAAGCAAAGAGACGGATAGTGGTGATGCCGCGAAGAGGCGAGATGACGGGACATTGGAGGAGACTACACCCAACGGAGCTAAGAATCGCACTTTGTCCATCAAGCAACATCTGTCAGCCCGTACCAATTGTCGTGAGTTGTACAGTGATAATGTGTTCTCAATATTGTCACGTGGTAGATGTGCGTTGCATCTGGCTGTGTTAGAAGCTTTGTATATCCGTAAGTTAGATCCTGAACTTTGCGTACAGAAAGAAAATGTGTTGTCGCTACAATTGTTTGGTGTTACTCCTCGTCGAGGTGTTAACAATGTAACTTAATTTGCTCACTATGTTCTTGTCGCTATTATTATTTCCTTCGAGTTTTGTGTCGTGCTGAACTTGATACTTTTTCCACCTTGTCACGAGTGTTGTTATCTCATATCTTTACGCTATATAAGTTTTAGTCTTTCCAACTTGAGCCATTCCCTGTATAATCCTTGATGAGAAGGGACCGAAAACGTTCGGATACTTTGACAAGTGCCTTATTTTGACTGGATGTGTGTTTGCGTGGATACTTACGACCCAACACGTACCTTCGTTATTAAAAAATGCTTCGTTGTTTTAATACTAGACTTCACTGTGATCAGTTCAGCTAGCCACTATGAGCTCCGCTGACTTGTCTTCACTGTGATCAGTTCAGCTAGCCACTATGAGCTCCGCTGACTTGTCTTCACTGTGATCAGTTCAGCTAGCCACTATGAGCTCCGCTGACTTGTCTTCACTGTGATCAGTTCAGCTAGCCACTATGAGCTCCGCTGACTTGTCTTCACTGTGATCAGTTCAGCTAGCCACTATGAGCTCCGCTGACTTGTCTTCACTGTGATCAGTTCAGCTAGCCACTATGAGCTCCGCTGACTTGTCTTCACTGTGATCAGTTCAGCTAGCCACTATGAGCTCCGCTGACTTGTCTTCACTGTGATCAGTTCAGCTAGCCACTATGAGCTCCGCTGACTTGTCTTCACTGTGATCAGTTCAGCTAGCCACTATGAGCTCCGCTGACTTGTCTTCACTGTGATCAGTTCAGCTAGCCACTATGAGCTCCGCTGACTTGTCTTCACTGTGATCAGTTCAGCTAGCCACTATGAGCTCCGCTGATGAAATCTAACAAGGTGAAAACAGCTAGCTGTCCGGATATTGAGTAAATACAAAAAAATACAAAATACAAAAAACTTGCTTTGTTATCTCTTGCGTCTGGGTGCGACGCAGACTCGACTGTGCATGCATGTGTTTCTGTAAAACTATGACATCAGAGTACGATAATGCTGGCCATGTTACCGTATTTCCCCAAATGTATTTCAAAGTCACACTTTTTTTCAATGAAGAATTGTCGAGGAAACGATAAACGTAAATGGCGATGAATATTGCAGTTACTACTACGTATGCAAGCTTGGTGTGCTCACCTGGAACTTGCCTGACTTGGTACAGCCAAGGATGTCGGCTTCGATATACGCGCGGACAACGTGGTTGCGTTGATCGCTGGTGCTCGACTGTGTCAGGCGCTGAGAAGGCCACACGGCAGAAAGAGTAATGCACAGGGTACAACGGCTACAGTTCGACAACAATAGCAGATTTCTGGGGAGTAACCAAGCTCTGTTGACACATGCCGTGTGTGTGTGTTAACAACTGTGCGCAAGGCGTAAGTGTAGTGGAGTCGACCGCTAAAAGTCAGATCCTATTCTAAATGGAAACGTGTGACTAAATGAAGTGGGACGCCTTGTAATCCTGACCCATGCAAACAAAAAGAAAAAGTCGCTCCATAGGGCTTGAAAGTGATGACGTCAAAAACGGCCAGGGAGTACTAAGTTGACATCAGATTTCTATTTTGGATCCACTAAGGTGTGACTTTGCTATTGCCTCAGTATGTGGGTGCATAGCAACCCACTCATGTCGTATGCAGGGGTGACTTTTACTTCGCCACCAGTTGTAACCCCGCCCCCAGTAGCCAAATCAGTCAGTTTCACTGGTTACATCGCCTTGCTGTGAGTAAGACGGCTTGAAATGTGCTTGGATCCATACAAAAACTGGATCCAAGTGGATCCAATTTTTGAATTTTTGAAATTGTTGCTATGCTGTGACGTAGCACTTTCAAGCCCTATTCACATCATTTATGTAACTTGCACTCATCCATAATACCAATGCACGCTTCACTTGCATTGTAATACCTCGTTCCTATCTTTAGGCACCGGTCACATGTTTCGCACATCTCTATTCCAGGTTTGTGAATACTATCTTCAATATGTTGTCACCTATGTACATGTAATTTCTATGGTGCATGCTCGTTACTTTCACTCCAAGTGTAAATATACCATTCTAAATGAATTTAAGATGGACAGTCGCACGAGCTGGTACTAGTAGTGGTGGTGCAGCTTGGAGATTGACCGCACTCAGAGTGAAAACAAGTAGTTCCTGCAACAAAAAAACTAACACCGTGTACAACCTAATGCATGCAAGCAGAGCAACAGGAACAACAGGAACAACAGGAACAACAGGAACAACAGGAACAACAGGAACAACAGGAACAACAGGAACAACAGGAACAACAGGAACAACAGGAAAGCGAGCCTACCAGACGGAGTGCTTGGAAGAGCAGGGCGGCATCCTTGTGGGAGAGTTTCGGCAGCTGTTCTTTGATCTTGTCATAGTCCAGTGATGGTCGTATTTGGGAATGATGTGGCTCAGTCTGCAATCTAACACATGGCAAGCAGGGTACGTAGATCTTCTTTGGGATTCGGAAATGAACAGCAAGCGAACCAGTTCAAACCTTGCTCATAGACCTACTTTATACTGTAGTTTCTTCACTGGGATAGTAAGAAGGAGTTTCAGACACACGGATGATGGCGGTGAGCTCACCAGCCTTGCCCCCAGGGACAAGCTTGCAAGCGAAATAATTTACAAGTAGCTGTCTGGCAATAGTCTTTTCAGCCGCTGCCCTTTTCACCACAGTGTCAATCTATTCACAAAGTTTAAAAAAAAATTCCCTCAGGTGAGTGCATAGGAGTATGTACGTATGCGTGTGTGTGTGTGTGTGTGTGTGTGTGTGTGTGTGTGTGTGTGTGTGTGTGTGTGTGTGTGTGTGTGTGTGTGTGTGTGTGTGTGTGTGTGTGTGTGTGTGTGTGTGTGTGCATGCGCATGTATGCATGTGTGCATGTGCTGATCTGCAAACACTTACTTCATGTCAGTTAGTGTGGACTGCAATACATCCACAGCCTAGACAGCATGGAGAAACGGGAAATAGGAGCACAACCAGGGGTATTTGAACAGGCGGCGAGGTGACAACAATTTTAAGATGGCAATGAACAGAATTAGCTGAAGAAACCGTCGTAACATGTCACTTCAGCTGATTCTGTTCATTGTCATCTTACAATCAGGGGTGAAACGATTAGTTCGAATATTTGAGTAATCGTTCGAAAATGTCAAACGAGCGAGTATTCGAAATTTTGTACTCGACCGTTTTCGTATGGGCATTCTATTTTTCAAAAGCTTTTGTTGTACCGCTCGTCCACTGGTATGCATGCATTATGAATGCCTTGAGTCAGTATTTAATGTTTATGACTTGGATTATGCGATCATCACGGCAAGTAACGTTAGTTTAATAGTTATGAGATATGAAAGTACTGATGAAAATCGTTACCTTGGTTACTTTACACTCTGTACGAGAATGTTCCTAAACATGTCAGCCTTGTCAGGTGATGCGGCCGCGAATCCGGCTAACTTTACTTTTTTTCTTTTTTTTACAAGACGGCGACTTTTGTTCAGTGCTCGCAGATAATTTTGTCCGAATTGGTCGAGAACTCCAGCAGTTTTGAATTTAAACTCGGATACTGAGCCAGTAATAAAATGTAAAAAAAAAAGAGAAGAAACACATGAGAACGAGTTATGCAGCAACTATCCACGACTGTAACAAGATGATAAACGGTCAGAAAGTGCGATATCGCACTTTCTGACCGTTTATCATCTTGTTACAGTCGTGGATAGTTGCTGCATAACTCGTTCTTATGTGTTTCTTTTCTTTTTTTTAAGTTTTTGAATTTTGACAAAATACTTGAAATAATCGAATACTAGATCGAATATTATGAATGAGTGATCGACTGGTTAAAATAGATACCGTAAAGTCTTGTATAAAAGCCGCACTTGAATAGAAGCCGCCATCGAATAGAAGCCGCAATTTTGAGCCCATCAAATCACACATAAGCCTGGTTTTAGTGTTGACATACATAGAAATACCTGTCTTGTATAGAAGCCTGCAAAATGTCACCAAGAAAGTCATAGAAGCCGCGGCTTTTATACAAGACGTTACGGTACTCGTTTCACCCCTAAGCACAATGCAAGCAACCGGCTCAAACACAGATTGGCTACTAAAGCCTGCACACTCTAACAATACCAGGTCAGAGTCAATCCATAAGCTGTTGCAGCTGCTACTTGTGTAGTTCCGTTTGACCGCGAACGTGAAACCAGATGTCTTCTGCATCTCCTGCGAATGCACGTCGAACTGAGGCACGCATGCTATTGTGGACATTGTACTCAGCGCTACATTGCTGTCAATAGTGCTGTATGCAGTGCAGATCATTACTATGGTTACCAGATCACAGTGTGCCTGCATATGATACTGTATAGTGCATCCAAAAACATTGCCGGTGAAGTGCCACAAGAGTTCAATACAAACATCCTACAAGTAAGGTGGAATACAATTTTATCGCAACTCAGAGTTACACGCTTGCGCGATCACCGGGCAAACAGGACTAAACCCACTTTGTACGAACATCTTATGCACTCTCAAACTGTCCTTAGCTTGTATTCCTGTGTGTGATTGAACTATCCCTAAGTGGCAGAAGCAAGCATGCGGCATGCTCCTTCTACAGAAGTAGACCCATTCCGGTTACATGCTGTACTTAGGTTTTTTTTAACATGATAGTTGCATTCCATTAACGAAAAGTAGAGAAACCAGAATGGGCTACTATTCCAGCTTTTGACCAGAAAAGCAGTCGCTTTTAGAATTTTCCTGTTCTTGGGTGCCCATTTGGCACGATCTGCAGTATAAAAGTAGTGCTGTACGCATGTGTGCCTGCAAAACTCTGGGTGCATGGGTACTGTGTGTATGACGAGACCCCGCATACGTAAGAACAAAGAGTTGTTGTCGAGCGCAGCACGCCCAAGGCGCTCCCCAAAACGGGCAAAACGAAAATCGGTTCCCGAAACCGGAATATTCTAGAATGCGACTTCTGGTAAAGTGGAAGATTTCCGGAAATATTGCTCATATAAAAGAGCCCGAAGTTTGTCCTCTTCCTTCTGTAAGTGTGATAGCAACTTTGTCTCAAAGGAAAATTCTGAGAAGATAATGACTAGAAACTATCCCATGAACATACAGCAATAGGCCGAGATGAGTCCATGGTTGCATTAGCCTTGAAGAGGCGCGAGCACAGCAGCTGGATTTGATCAGCAGTGACCTGAAAACAAAAATAAACAAAACACAAGCAGGACAACAGCAAGTGAGAAGAGAAAATTCAGATGACCCAGTTGACCGTCACCACGTTAACAGATGACCCAGTTGACCGTCACCACGTTAAAAACTTCATGGTCTGTCGGGTTTCGGACACGAAGTCGAATGGTGAAGGTCCCACTTTTATCCGACCAAGCGTTCCTGAGATATCTTTGGCTGAAATTGTACTTCGGGGGGACGCGCCATGAAGTCATGCGGCCACAACACACTCCAGGAAAATTGGCCGTGCAGTATGAGATGCTGTAGGATAGCAAAGTACACAGTGATTGCTGTAGGATAGCAAAGTACAGTGAAACCTCGTTAGGAAGAACACTGATAAAACAAATGTTTGCCTAAGAAGAACTAGTATTCGTAACTGTATTGGATAAAACCCTGTGTATTCACTGGGTAAAACATATGGATAAGAAGAACTCCCGTTATTGCGAACAAATATGATCGGTCCCTCGGTGTTCGTCCTAAAGAGGTTTGACTGTACACAGTGATTGCAGCATGTGTAGGTAACTAAGGTTGCATACCTGCCAAGTACTGAAAGTGCTTTTTCCGGATCGCCATGGCAAAATCGCGGGATTTGCCTTGGTTTTCGGGATATGTCATATTTTTACCAAAAAAATCCTTTTTCAACTTTTGATGGCCCCAATATTTCGATAATAGATGATTGATGGTGATCATCGGATCACACTTACACATGTTCAAGACTCAAAAACGGAGGTTTTTCAGAGACTGCTCATGGAAGGAGCACTAGTAGAGCCACTGGTACTGCAGGCTATGGCGGTCCGGGATCAACAAGGACAATTTACTGGCCTGTGACAAGTCATTTGAAGTGCTCCAAGTACAATATCAAGCTTGTTTCTTGTACAGTGAATTTCGGGATAATCGACAGGAATTTCGGGATCGCGGGAGTTTATTCAAAATTGCGAGATAATCCCGAAAAAATTTGGATACCGTATTTTACCGGTTGTAAGTCGACCCCGGTTATAGGTCGACCCCCGTATCCGGAGGTCTCAATTCTGCGTTGTAATGTTTTCACCCAACGAAGCACTACCAACCACGCCCTGCTACTAACACATCAACAAATCATGTAAACATTCCTTATTGGAGGGTATAAAGTCCCAATCCTTGAAAAAGGCCAATAAACTGGAAAACATGTGTACACATGGTGCACTCATGCATGCAGGGCAGGTCATTTTTTGTAAGACTCTGATAGTTCCCGGTTATAAGTCGAATCCCGGTTGTAAGTCGACCCCCACCCTTTCTCCTTCTATTTTTAGTCATAGAAGGTCGACTTACAACCGGAAAAATACGGTACTTGGCAGGTATGAGGTTGAAATGCAGTACTACACTGTACATGTAACCGCTATTGAACAAATCAACAAAGTTCCCAGTTTCATCATGTTCAGTCAGGTCTTTTCCAAAAGGTATACTGGCTATTCCCATCACTGAATGGGATAATTATATCAGAAGTGAAGTTGCTTTCGGAAAAGACTTGCCCAAGCATGATAAAACTGGAAACTTCATATTTTGTGCAATTAGATTTTTGAGGCTGGGGGTAGTTTAGGCTAGCCTTTATACCCGGTATAAGCGCTATTCTGTATGAATTCTGCGGATGTGCAGATACAGTCTTCAGGAATATTCTGCGAAATAGAAATAGGCGTTATCAGGGCGTGCCTACTGACGTCTAAAGGTCGCAAACGTCGCTATAATGTCTGGAATTCCAATGCGTAACCCTCGTTATCACCAAAAACTGACATGGGGACCACAACATTTTTGTTCCAGATGCAGAATCAGGATACAACAGTGCTGGCAACTGAAATCCGACCCCTGATTTTGCCAGCACCTTAGGTCCTTGCTAGTCTGCCCAAGTGTTAGATCTGACCATCGTCATTCCTGTACATCGTTGTGCCAGCTGGCCTGCACCCCGTGTGGCACATTTTGTTCCGTTGGCTTGGGCGCGCTCAGATTTGCCATAGCTGCCCAGGCCCTTTATCTAGCACTCCTTCTCTCTTGCGCTCTCGCCCTCGCTCTCTCTCGTCGTCACAATGCAGTCTTTCGTTTCTCCGTCTCCACCAATAAATAAATATTGCGACAGAGCTTTCGGCCATATTTCCAATGTATTGCATTCCCAAATCGTCACAACCACGCGCTCTCAGCCGAACCATAAAGACACCAGCAAGGACACTTCCGTTGAGAGATAATATTTTTCCACGCCCCTAGCCAGCTGTTTCTCTCAACGGAAGTGTCCTTGCTGGTGTCTTCATGGTTCTCGGCTGAGAGCGCGTGGTTGTGACGAGTTGGGAATGCAATAAATTCCTCCCAATAAATGGCGTCCCTATCGTCTACCTGTTCCTTGTTTTGTTATGTGTGGGACTATGACAGTCGTTGAGTTTCAACAAAAGGAATAAACGAATGATGGCACATGTATGGCAAATAACCTTGATGGCCGACTAAGCACATAGAATACAGTTGACCGGAACTTGGAGCATTAAAACTTGTTTCGTCTCCTTATTCATAAAACCGATCTACGTTTGCCTCCAGGCTGTGCCGAAACAAGGGCTATTATGTGCAGTATACTCAACCAGCCCCCTCCCCTCCCCTACACACACAATGCATGACACCAGACTCGACCGCAGAAAAAAAAGAAGATTGCATGTCACAAACGAATAAACATATCCTAATCTACACTCTCATCAGGTACATACCGGGTTTCCTGACACAGTCTGCTGGAGAGCCTCCACAAGGTCCATTGCTATACTAAGCAATGACTGATAATCTGTCTGTGTATATATACACAAGTACATATGAGTACATACACACGTACAGCCGTACACACATACACATGAACACACACACACACACACACATACACACATACACACATACACACACACGCACACACACACACACACACACACACACACACACACACACATGCACACACATGCACACACACATGCACACACACACACACACACACAAACACACACACACAAACACACGCACGCGCGCGCGCACACACACACACACAAACACACACACACACACACACAAACACACACACACACACACAAACACACACACACACACACACACACAAATGTATATGAAAAACTCAAAAGGCAAATCAACACCACGAGCAATCATCCCTGCAAGGATTGTCATAGTACAAAAAGTTTTCATTTAGATATTCAATAGTAACATAAAACCCATCAAAATCATATTCCACCATCGACAGTCTCAGATAAAAACAAGGTTTATCTAGCTGCAGTAAAACTAAGACAACAAGAACAACAACACCGTCTCCATTCCCCTCTGTACAAGACCCTGCATTACTTTAATTGCTTGCCTACGCAACTTCGCGAAATCCCTTCTTGTACTCTCTTTCTCTATCTCATATTGGCCACTGGCTATCGTGAGAATAAGGATTTCAAAAAAAAACATACTGAATTGCCAGTAAAAAAACGACCTGTGTATCTGTGAAGCACAGAAATCTGCCAAATGTTATTGGTGCGTTCATGGTTTTGATGCACAACTCTCCAAAACTCTGACAACATGTAGCATATAGCAGTTTTAACATCTCTACCTGTGCATCAGTGCACCTGCGAATGTACAGCAGCGCACGCTCCTCACATTCCTGCATCTGCATTCTCAGCTTCTCCAGTTCTGCGCCGTTTGCAACTGGTACGTCTGGAACGAACAAAACACAAGTGAGGTGCCGGGTCTGAAACAAAACACGCCAAACCTGCGCCTCACCAATTCAAACGAGCAGCAGCAAATGACACTGTGCAGGCGTCAAAACTGGAACAAACTAAAGCCGCAATGCAACACAACACTAAGCTTACCTGCTGTTGCTGCTGCTGCACCGCCACTCTGTGTGTTGTGAGACTGGTCAAGGACTGATGCACTTTGTATGCTTTGACAGACTACAACAAAACTAGCGGTATACTGATACGACTATAAAATTCAATTATAATAAATGGTACATCCAGTGTGTGAAAAATTCACACTGAAAATCCAATCCCAGCAAATGGTACACCGAGAGGCTGAGCAATGCTGTACAGACTAGGGACGTAGGCCAGGGTACAGTTGAAGCAATTCCCGGCTATCTAGGCGCAGGTGCTCTACTGGCCCAGTATCAGTCCACAGAAGGAAAGCATACATGCACATGTGCACACATATCAGACATGTAAACAGCATTGCAATAGATGCACATATCAGACATGTAAACAGCATTGCAATAGATGCACATATCAGACATGTAAACAGCATTGCAATAGATGCACATATCAGACATGTAAACAGCATTGCAATAGATGCACATATCAGACATGTAAACAGCATTGCAATAGATGCACATATCAGACATGTAAACAGCATTGCAATAGATGCACACATATCAGACATGTAAACAGCATTGCAATAGGTGCACATATCAGACATGTAAACAGCATTGCAATAGATGCACATATCAGACATGTAAACAGCATTGCAATAGATGCACATATCAGACATGTAAACAGCATTGCAATAGAAGCACATATCAGACATGTAAACAGCATTGCAATAGATGCACATATCAGACATGTAAACAGCATTGCAATAGATGCACACATATCAGACATGTAAACAGCATTGCAATAGATGCACATATCAGACATGTAAACAGCATTGCAATAGATGCACATATCAGACATGTAAACAGCATTGCAATAGATGCACATATCAGACATGTAAACAGCATTGCAATAGGTGCACATATCAGACATGTAAACAGCATTGCAATAGGTGCAGTGCAGGATACGAGAAGCTTCAGGAGCACAGGCACCTGCACCGGACGTAGCGCAGACTTGAGAAAGGCACCGACACGTGCCTGAAGATCAGTCACCCAGCGATCCTGTGTGTTTATAGAGAGGAAGGATAGTCCAATGCGGACACACGCACACGCGGAGAGGAAACAATAGAATTCACAATCATATCTCACCGTCGGAGCTACGTCTCTTCACGACATTCAACGAAGGCAACCGAAGCAAGAAGTGACAGGATGGACAATACTTCCTTGTCAGTGTCATTATGGCAGTGCATTCGGGTACAAGGAGTCAAAGATCAGCTTCAAGGACCTGGTCATTCGGGTACAAGGAGTCAAAGACCAGCTTCAAGGACCTGGCATAAGAAAAGATTGAACACTGCACCATGAAGATATGTCAGTACACTCGAACAACTGTAGTGGAATCACGGCCATTCCGTGTCCCGAGACGCAGGAACACCAAGGACAAGTACACGTTTGTTTACAATTGTCATTATAGCTACGACATGACTGGGAAAACATGGACAACAACTGCAAGGGACGAACAAGAAGACTGAGAAGACAGACTGAAGACTCATAAATCATGCATGCTCATATCACATATGCATGCTAGACAAGAGACAGTTTGGGGGATGTCATCATGCAGGAAAACAATACGTTATGTAACATCGTTCTACAACACAACGCACCGTGAACAAGTCTTCATAGGGCTTGTGCCTCCTGGGGTCTGGCACATATGGAAGGGCAAAGAATGGCTGAAAGTCGTCAAATTCTGCCATGCTCCTGCCGCGATTTGCAAGGTAGTTAGAGAATAGTTCCATTGCGGCCCGGCATAGTGAGCCCTGCGCAGCATCAAGAGAACATCAAAAACAAGTGCCGGTGTGTCTTGAGTATTTAAGACTGTCTCGTATAGAAGCCTGTTTTGAATACAAGTCTGATTATCAAGATGCACTGGCAGCATGTACGTCTGGTTTGGTGTTGACATACATAGAAATACCTGGTTCGAATAGAAGCCTGACTTGAATAGAAGCCTAGCATTGACATCAGCTTCTACAGGATAAATGCGGCGATGATACGCAACATTACGATATTCCTGGTCCACGTGAACGTGATGACTGGCTAGGAACTAGGTGTAATCCTTCGCCTTAACAAATGCAAAGAGGAAAGGACCTATAAGTTACTGGTTATGCCTAAACAGTCCACCAAGGTAACGAGATAATATACAGCCAGACAGTGCGACAGCGAGCACTTGGAAGGTTGTTGGTTTGCGCTTCGTAGATGTGTTGGATCTAGGTGTCAGGTCGTTGAATGTCTCAATATCCTTGTCAGCTTTGTGCCTCGTTGTCGCATTATCTGACTGTATATTATCTCGTTACTTGGTCGACTGTTAGTCATAACTAGTAACTTATAGGTCCTTTTCTCTTTACATATTACTATTGGCTCAACATCCGAGTTTTTTCTTAAAGGGGAAATCAAATTTTCACCAGTTGTAGTCTTCGGGGTGCCGAGTCGAATGGTCTTGGTCCGAGGAAGCTGAAATGCTCCATTCCTCCTTTATTCCCAATCGAACTCGCGCACTTCCACCGAAACTGGGTGACTGCGCCCTACTAGATGGGGATTTGAATGCAAAATGTCACTAAAAACGCCATTTCGTTCTTATAAAAGCACGGATGACCGCGATTGGCCCATATGTTGTAGTCTTTTGGACGCTGAGTCGACTGGTTTTGGTCCAAGAATGCTGCGATGCAGGGTTCCTCCTTTATTCCCAATCGAACATGGTTGAACAAGCGGTCACGTGCTCCTGTGTACACCAGTCACCGTGCCTAGCCTAGCGCCTGCAGGGTACAACTTACAGCCTGTTTGACCTTTTTTGGACGCACTCCTGTCATTCGAGTTGAACTCGAGTTGAACATTGGTGTGAAAGTTGTCTCCCATCCGCCCCTCCCTGACTTCTTGTCAGGGAAGTGATTGATTGTATCATCGTATGACTCTGTGATGCCGTACTGTACTGCAGATGCGTGCTCGACCCCGTTGGAAATGTACGCAACAGTGCCCGCCCTCTTGACCAGGGATCGCACAAACCCTGAGTTTTGACTGGTCTGTACGACTCCTGGCTCTTGACCTTTGCAATTTGGTCGGTGTACGAGATGCACGAACAGTTTTCGTAGGGTGAGAACTTTTTCATGTAGTACTGAATGCGGCCAGTAGGACTCGCCCATCCGCCCCTCCCCACCTGAACTTACTCGAAGCGTCGAGGAGGTAGGGGCGCGCGCGCTGGCGGGATTTTACGGTATATGTAAGTGTATGATCAATGTTCAACTGTACGTGAATTCAACTCAACTCTGTATGGATTCGGGAGTGTTTCAGATCCAGGATGTACCCTCAATACTTTTTTAGCTAGTGAATGTCGTTTGCAACAAGACAGACAACGTGTTTTACCCCGTGGTACACAAAGACACCGTACAGGTACCTACAGTCCGTTCATCGGAAACTGGCCCGCTCTGCTGCTGAGAACGTACTCAAGGCCACTTTTGAGAAATTACCGTACGAAAAGTCGGAGCGCGATTTTCGAAAACGTGAAGAGATTAGGTGTGAATGAAAAATTGAAATTATCATAAGAGCCTAGAGTGCGGATTTCGGAAAAAACGGGGAAGGGCAGCCCTTTGCAAACCAGTATCGTATTTTCCGGAGTATAAGCCGCACTTTAAATACCAGTAATTAACCCAAAAAGGTGGTGCGGCTTATACTCCGATGGTCAAATTAACGGTGGTAAAGGGGGTAGATGTCTGTATTTCGTCTGGGTGCGGCTTATACTCCAGAAAATACAGTATACAATACAACAGACATCGTGACAGCCGTACCTGTGGATCGTTGCCATGACGATGATGATAAACTGCAAAGTGCAACTGGCAACTGCATTCAAGATGTCGGCATGTCCTATCCTTCTCTAAAATAGCAGATGGGATCTTCTTCTCCCAGAGGGCGAAAAATGCCTTCCCATTGCCTCCATTTAGCAGGGACACAAATTCTTTGTAATCCTGCGCATCAAAGCAATCACAAGAAGAGGATATCACTAAGGCTGCCATGCTGGTGCTTCAAACAAATGTGCACATATTTTGGTGTGAAACAAAAACTGTACATTCCTTGGACGAAGATGAAGAAGGTATGTATGCATGCAGTGAGCATGTGATGTAATGTGATGTGTGCGTGCACACATGCGTGTGCATGTGCGTGCACATGCATGTGACTCAGGCAGGACACTTCCTTATCCCTACAATGGAACAGAGTGCCCTACTTCAGAGAAAAAAGTACTGGAAGAATCTTTCAAAGGAGCGAGTGGTGTTTGACTGAAGCAAATCAGACATAGCCAATCTGGCGCACTTTAGTCAAAGGAGATGTGCAGACATCTGCCCCATAGGAGTTGTATAACACCCAGCAAGTAAGAGTCACCTGGTTAGATGGCCTTCCTTCACGGCCATACTCAGCATCCAGGGCAGCCAAGATGCTCTCCTTGCCCTGGTGGAGAAAATACTGCATACATACACACACACACACACACACACACACACACACACACACACACACACGCCAATGCACACACACACACACACACACACACACACACACACACACAAATACACACACACACACACACATGCCAATGCACGCACACACACACACACACACACACACACACACACACACACGCGCGCGCGCACGCAAGCACACACACACACACACACACACACACACATGCACATACACACACACACGCACACACACACACACGCACATGCACACACACACACACACGCCCATCACCAAACCAATGATAGTGAACAAGCCATGTTATGCATAGCCACTTGTCCTGGGATCACACAATTCAACAGCTTGCAAGCCTCGGCTAAGGAATTGAAAACATCCATCTACGCAAGAAAGATAACATTTCGCAGCTAGAAAAAGATACATGTGGACAATAGAGCACACGATGCACATACACCCTTACGCAAACACCCATGCACATACACGAGCCAAATTCAGCACTGCATTTCATTGTAGTTGTAGGCTAGGTCATCCACGGTACAAAATATGGAACAGCATGTGAAGTTACAAGCCCATGAACAGGACTGTCCACTCATAGTCATGCACTCAATCTATACTGTGCGTAGAGTGTACCCTGAAGTATAAATCCAGGGTCATAGGTGCCACACAAGGCTCAGCTAATCTTCGAGCGGATGCGAGCTCCACACAAACACATGCCGTAAATGTGACATAAGTACACTAACATATTCTCACACCTAATAATAATAATAATTCGCGGGATTCGCGTTGGCATCGCTTGAATGTTCAGAAACACACAAACTAGCCTTCGCTTCCGCAGGCCACCACTATGCCTTGTACACCTTAGTGGCAAATGCAGACCTCACAAGTGAGTCAGGGGAGAGTAGGCGAGTCTCTCAACCAATCGGGCGTGTAATGGCCCATAACCCTGTAAACTGCATCCTTGTTACCCTCACTCCGAGCTGTGAGTACCCAGTTGACCGTGGGTGTCGGCGCAGTTCACCACGCATACAAAGTCTTTACATGCTCCCTGCTACCAGCGCGGGTCTCGAACTCGGGACCTCATGATTCGCAGGCAGGCCTGCAAACCAATCGGCCATATGCGCACACCTTACAAACTTAATTTGCACTCTGCCATATGATTGCCCTTTCCCTGGTTGTAAAATCAAGGTGGGGCCGCGCTCTCGCAGCACTCTACGGTACATGAAAAATAAGAACAAGCTGGGGGTATAATTAAAAGTTTCAGATCCACCCCATCCCCACCCGGGGTACCCTTCGGCACCCATTAGTACGGTAGCGGATCAGTTGTCTTTACGGCTGCTTCATTTCTTGCACAATATCAGCCAGCTTTATAACTTTACACTGCTCATTATTAATAAATTGAAATGACAGCTGATGACAATGATATCAACTTTATGAATTTGGCAATAGTATCACCCAATCCAGCTATTGATTTTTCAAAAAAAATCATCATTATTTTCATTTATTTGATCTCCCAAATACTGTATCAGCTTTTCGGCATCACGGTTTGCCGTGTTCTGCAAGTCAGATACGGCAACAACAAGAACAGCAAGCAAGGACAACGGAATAACAGACAGCGCTTTCTAGGCCTAACCTCACGAACAACGCCGATAGCTCTCTTGTCCACAGCAGCCATGCTGAAAGCAAAGTTCGAGAAACACACACGGCCACGAGAGAAAAGAGGTCATCGCAGAGAACAGAGGTACCGAGTGATATTCAACTAAGCAGGCACTGGATGAGAGGCTAGCTAGAACAAGATTGCAACTGATTCCTCACACTAGGAAAAACTCTTTCAAAGGAAAATTCAAATGAACATGTTTCATTCATGTTGTACTACCTCTGAATATCCTGAGTTGTGGCTCCCAGGTTGTGTCCTGGGAGCTAATGCTAGCTCAGTCCAGGAAAGCGGCGTCCAAGGGCGTCTCGACGAATCAAGAAGAGAGAGGGAGACTGAGAGAGGGAGACTCCACTGGAATTTATATCCGAAAAAGCATGGAGATCAGTCAAATGCTACTCGTTGCGAAGCCACTATCTGGCGAAAGTAGTCTGAAGAGCCTAACAATGTGACATGAAGGCTGTCCGATATCGAATCCTGCAATGCTGCATGTTTCGATTCAAACCTTCGATGCTTGTTTTGAATGCGCGCCTCGCAGAGCCGCCAAGGCGTCGTAATCAAAGACATGCATGTAGCACGTGCCAACGACAATTTTAATAATGAAAAGACTAATTAAATAATTAAGCATGCTGGCATATGCATGGATGCGGAGGTAGGATCCGGAGGGAGTCGTCAAACGACGACTCCCTGGTAGTGGTAGATATGGTACAAAGTCACAAGGTAAAACAGGATAGTGATAGTACATGTATTTCTACTACTCCCTGGCCTGGCAAGAGCTCACTGGCCCTTCGCCTTTCAGCCCTTTGCATGTAGGCCTTTCCCAAATCGGCCATTAATTTTGGCCTATTCGGCTTTTCGATCGGCTGAAAAAATCGCCAGAATCAGCTGAAAATTTCTGTAAAAGGTGGAAATTCGGCTCTAAAGTCGCAGCCACCTTTCGCAGATAATGGCTACAGAAATTATTGTATTTGCATGCTATTGAGGCACTAAAACATCAATTTTCGGCGAATTCAGTGCGAAAATTGCGTATTCGGCTCAAAGATCGGTGATTTCTTCAAAACCACTATTTTCGGCCAATGTTTCGGCCGGCCGATTTGGGAAATGCCCACGGGCCGTGACGCAGGCGCGCACGAGCGGTCACGCCCAGTTACCCACGACCCTGCAAAACATGTACATGTATATTCGGCGATTTCTTGGTAAAATCTCAGAATTCGGCCAAAAGATCGGCGATTTTCGGAAAAGGCTACTTTTCAGCAAATTTTTCGGCCGGCCGATTTGGGAAAGGCCTATTTGCATGCCGGTATACCGGTAGGCCATTTTAGGTCATACGGCTTGCTTTTGTGTTCAATCTTACAGTGTTCTCCTTATTTTCCGAATTTGCTTTTGCTTTAGTTCTTACTTCATGGTTTCACGCTATAATCCGCTATTGGCGTTAACAACGTTGCGAATAAACCGTCACGAGTACTATGCTCCCGGGAGCTTATAATTATACTCTTGGTTTATATCACTCCTGCTAGCAGTTGAGCACTTTCCCCTGAGCTGCATACAATGGACCGACCAAAACGGATGGACGTCGACTATTCGCTCAAGATATAACAAGCGAATAGCATTTATGTTTTATCGTCTGATGAGTGTTTTTTGAAACACGAAACTCGGAGGTACGAGAAAGATTTTTGGTCTCTGTTGTTCTGCCTTGTGTAGTACGCTCTGCCCTTTTTGAGGTATTGAGCACTATTTGCAGCAAGGACTTCAGACACTTTGTGTACTCTTGGTTTAAATTAAATACATGTATATATTATACCAAGACGGCAAGCGTACATAAAGGGGGTTATGTAGTCTTCATAGCGGGGGTATTAGCTAAGTCTTGGTTATACCGGAAAGAGTAAAGCTCTCCGAGCTAGACTACAATGACATTATGTAGGTTATACCAACGAATACTATTTCAGAATTGGGAAAAATCGAATTTTTGATTTGAGGTTAACTGTGATACTTTTCTGATTGGGGTAGCCACAAAGCATTAGAATTTAAAATTTTGGGTCAATCGGTCCAGTGGCTCCGGAGTTATAGTGGATTGTAAGTGCGACAATTACAAAATTGAATATGAAATAAATTGCATGAAATTGCAAAAACAATTAAAATTTTCACCAAAGTCATTTTTGCGCTATTTTCATCAATTTCGATCGTAGCGCTCTCATTTTTTGACGCGAGCTCTAGCTAGCGGGCCTCCTCTGTGATCCGTTGCCGTGGCAATCATTTCCAAAATGGCTGCCCTTCATGACGTACGCGTGGTAGACAGTCAGCTGACATCAAAATAAATTTTGTCAGCGAAATGTCAGCATGCAAAGCAAAATTAAAGGGGAAGTATACCCTAAAATCAAATTTTCACCAGTTGTAGTCTTCGGGGTGCTGAGTCGAATGGTCTTGGTCCGAGGAAGCTGAGACGCTCCCTTCCTACTTGAATCCCAATCGAACTCGCGCACTTCCACCGAAACTGGGTGACTGCGCCCTACTAGATGGGGATTTGTATGCAAAATGTCAGTAAAAGCGCCATTTCGTTCTTATAAAAGCACGGATGACCGCGATTGGCCCATATGTTGTAGTCTTTTGGACGCTGAGTCGACTGGTTTTGGTTCGAAAAGGCTGCGATGCAGCGTTCCTCCTTTATTCCCAATCGAACATGGTTGAACAAGCGGTCACGTGCTCCTGCGTACACCAGTCAGCTGGTCACCGTGCCTGCAGGGTACAACTTACTAGCCTGTTTGACCTTTTTTGGGTGCAGTCCTGTCACTCGAGTTGAACTCGAGTTGAACCTTGGTGTGAAAGTTCTCGCCTGCTGGCGCGGTGACCAGGTGATTTGGGCACCCAGGAGCACGTGACCGCTTGTTCAACCATGTTCGATTGGGAATAAAGGAGGAACGCTGCATCGCAGCCTTTTCGGACCAAAACCAGTCGACTCAGCGTCCAAAAGACTACAACATATGGGCCAATCGCGGTCATCGGTGCTTTTATAAGAACGAAATGGCGCTTTTAGTGACATTTTGCATACAAATCCCCATCTAGTAGGGCGCAGTCACCCAGTTTCGGTGGAAGTGCGCGAGTTCGATTGGGATTCAAGTAGGAAGGGAGCGTCGCAGCTTCCTCGGACCAAGACCATTCGACTCAGCACCCAGAAGACTACAACTGGTGAAAATTTGATTTTAGGGTATACTTCCCCTTTAATAATTGTTGTAGCTTTGTTTCATCAAGCCTTGTCAGTTTTGTTTTGACATTGCTGGAGACGTAAGCCGTGGTGGATCATCTGCCATGGGTAACAAACGCAAGAGCAGGGTTCTCAGCAGGCCAAAGAAGTGCCTTCCCCCGCGGAAAAGGACTGTCTTGGCTCGTGAAGAGCCCACAACTGAAGATGGTGATTTGGACGTATTCGTCGCAGCATCTGAGGATGTTGCAAATCAATCTTCCGTGGCATCTGATTCTTGTACTGGTGATTCAAGCGATGAGGTTATGTCCAGCGACGAGTCTGATGATGATGATGATGATGACAGTTCGGACGAGCACAACAGTGGTAGCAGAATCGTCCACTTGCCATCCCTGACACGTCTTCTTGGCTCATCATGTGTCTGTGCCAACTGCAAGACTGGGTCATTGCTCGTCTAGGAGTCGACTCGATATGGCCTAGCCCCAATTCTTGAGCTTACCTGCGATCATTGTGGGCATGTATTTGAGGGCCGCCTTGCTGAAAAACATACACCAATGCGATTTTATGATGTGAACAGACGTTCAGCAATGGCCATGCGGATGATTGGCAAGGGAATGGAAGCACTGAGGATGTTCTGTGCCATCATGGATATGCCTGAGCCCATGTACGGACGGTCGTTCCAGTCTCACTGTTCAGCATTGCATGATGCAGCAGTTGAAGTTGGGACAAATAGCATGCGGCACCATGCTGCAGAGTTACTGGCTATGCGGCAAGCGAGTGGATCTGACCATCCGTCACACGTGGCCGTAAGCACTGACGGCACATGGATGCGGCGTGGGTACTCTTCTGTGTTTGGTGTCCAAACAGTAATTGCGTACGACACACTCAAGGTGGTGGATGTGGAGGTGTTATCGAAGCATTGCAACCATTGCAAGGTTTGGGACAACAAACGCGACACGAAGACAGTCACGGCAGCGGAGTTTGCCACCTGGAAGGCTGCACATGCTGACAGCTGCGACATCAACACCAATGTCTCATCGCCAGCCATGGAGACTGCAGCAGTAGTGAAGATTTGGAATCGATCTGAGGCTCTCAATGGCCTTCGCTACACATCCTACATTGGCGATGGTGATTCGAAGGAATTTCAAAAAGGGTTATGCAGACAAGGCCAAAGAGACGGAAGGCGTTACGTACTGTCCTGGTGGTTTTTGAGTGCTAAAAGTTGCCCTTTTTGGGGGGTACCGTGTGACCTTTGGTACACCATATCTCCAGTTTGGTATGTCCAAATCCAGTAAACTATATATGTATTCATATCTACGTCACATTTGCAAGGTGCTCACGTCTCTACTTTTGAAGATTTTGTCACATCTACTGACGTATGGGCACAGAAAGATAATTGGACCAACGGCGCGTTCTTTACGTGATTTCTTTATGTGTGTGTCAACCAGATTCTTTACATCTAGAAGCATAAATCTCTTCGTGAGCATCTAGTATTGAGCAAGAACACTCATTATGTAACATAAGTATCTGGCTATTGCTAAAATCCTTGCAGAAAACTTGTACCAAAAATTTGTTGACCGCATTTTTGCGATATTCTTGTTTGGTGTGTCCAGCATCCTGTTCTCCAAGTCGAAATGCATGTGTAGTGGTTGTTCAAGTGTTCTTTATTATCTGACCAGCATGTGTAGAAAATTTGGTGCAAAAATAATGAGGGATGCCAATGTTACAGACATTTGAATGCATGTATGTTATCGGCTGGCGCCGAAGGTAGCCTGCCACCTTAAGCTGTCCTTCCTGGGAACTGATGTGTTGATTTTACCAAGAGTATACCCCCCCCCCCCCCCCAGAGGTTACACACTCTTAGTTTTACCTGTACCCTGTCCTTTGAGTTTGAACGTTCTTTCTCCACACAATTTCAGTTCCATCTTCCTAGAAATTCCTTAGCGTTGCACTAAATACATGCACTTCTATGCATTGCAACTTTGCAACTTGGTCATTCTGCTGCCACCTACTAGTACTTGCAACGTATGGCAAGTTGTTCTTCTTCTTATATTCTTCCTCCCTCACTTTCCTACTTCAACAACAACAACAACAACAACAAGCGCCACAATTATGCTCCACCACATATACCAGGCGCGTGCTCGGCGATGGGCACGGGGGGCACGTGCACCCCCAAAAATTTTCAATCTGGGTAAGTGCAATTGTAATGTATGCAAATATGCTCTAAAATT